GAAATTTGTGGAAAAATTATAAAGACTAGAAACAAAAATATGATAATGAATAGAAATAGGTATAAATAGAATATAAAATCAGAATATGGGCATTAAAGTTTACATGACCCACCACAGCTTTCAGCGTGTCTGATCCATATATATGATAGATGAGTAATAATGCCCCAACAAATATATTAATAAATTGGGTCTAAGAAGGATTTTAACCAGAGGGCCAGAAAGCAATCATTTCGCAGATTTCAGTAGGAAACTTGTTACTCAAAAGCAACAGAAAATCTGACAGCAACATAAGAATGGCTTCAGAACCTGTTAAACCTTCGTACAATAACATACACTCTTCCTTACTACTGCAAGTCTCGGTGGCTCAGCCTAGATTTGCAAGATTTACTACATCTTACTAACACCTGAATATAATATAAGCATTTATATGTATAAGAGTAATCTTTATAAAAGAAAGAAGGCCGACAGAAAGAAGGACTAGATCTTTTATTATTAATAGCGGAACCGTCTACCAGAATTTGGAAAATGTGGGAGAAAATAAGACATTCACCAGTCCCAAATAATATGATATATCACATTGTTATTGTATTGAAAAATTTTATGCTCGATAGTTTTAGTTCTTTAGTATACGGGTTATATTAAAAATTGTAAATACAGTGCACTGTATATATTAGATATTCCTTTGTATTGGTTAACTATTGGTGTTATAATTATTATTTTAGTGTGTGTTTGTAAGCTGATGAGGGGTCTTTGTACCCGAAATGCATCCTTACCTAAATTCGAAATGTGATTATTAAAGACTAACTTTCTTGTAAAAGATCTGGTTTTTCTTTCTGTCAGCCTTGGTGTGATAAGCCCTCCAAATTGTTAAATCCTATTTATTAGGTTATCTAACTCTATCTCATTCATAGTCGTGGGCTAAAAGCATCATTTATTATTATTATTATTATTGTTACCTCTCTGGTTATAGTCATCAGCATGACAACAGCTAAAAGACAAAAGTCATGTCATCAGTATGTGTGCACACAAGACACAGAATTGTTGCAAGAAAACCAATGGATGTTGTAAGTTACTATTTGTGCTCTTGTGCCCATTTTCTACAGGCTACAAAAACTACAAAATGAGCTCCAGTGTGAGAATGACCATGTTGTCAATCATGTCCTTAGATGATGGTATAAACATCTCTACAATGGACTTTTTTAATTGTATATATAAATAAATTATACCTATGCATAAGGACTTGTCTTTACAGTTGGTAACATTAGAAATGATCAGTCCGATAGTTAGGTCCTCTGGCAAACGACAACAGAATTGTTGCCAGTTTACACAACCCCATCCGGTCGCACTGCCAATCCTAGTCATATATAAGTCACCGCATTGTCGNAAAATAAATATATTAAAAAATATAAAAACAATAAAAAATTATACTTCAGAAGTTAATTTAGTATCAAAAACGTAAAATATTTGAGTACCCCAAGACATAGCCAAAGATTACAGTGCCACAGCACTGGCAAAAATTTAAATTTGTCGACTGGAATTCCTTCGGATAACAAACGCTCTACTGTATTAACTTACATTGAATGGAATTACACCTTTAATTGTTCAATATAAAAGGAAAGGAATTTTAAAATTATGGAATTACTTTACGAATTATTTATAAACTGTTTTGTCAACACAAAGCACCGGAACAATAATGTTTATGGACAAATGCAATTTAGTAGTTACGGAAAACACAAATGCAAAAAAGTCAGCCAACATAACACACACAATACAGATTTCCTACCGCATTAAGTCACCGTCTCATCAACGGCCGTCCAACCACCTATTCGTAAAATAATTCCAAAAAATTCTGCAATTTCACAATCAACTCAATAAATATAATTAATTTCTTAAACTTAAAACATAGCATGCAGAAATTTATTTAGTAATTAACACTAAGTTATGTATCTATCGACAGGTTTACGGAAACAGAGTTTGGTTGCCGTAAGTTTTCGATAGCATTGTTATACCCCTCGAATAAATTTCCCACAGACAGTACAATCGACTGTCGTTGGATGTGAGCCAGAAGGGATACGTAAATTTGTTCTTTGAATTGTTAACTGCTACAATCTTATAGAAACTTATTCAAATTAAACCTTTTTGTACCGAGTTAGCTTCAATTATCTCGACATATTAAGTTATATGAATCATTAACGAAACGGCCATCAAATACTACATCCCTTCTTCACACGTGCTCTATCCCGACAACCTTTCAAACAAAACTAATGAAATTTAAAGAAATTGTTCATTTTGTATAGAAATCAGCATCCAGCAATATCGACATTTCTATGTCCGCTTGGGTCTAAACACTGCGAATTAAAATTTAAAATGATAAATATCCATCCATATGAAGCAATTTGCATCATATTTCGGACGAAACCGCTCCGACTTTAGAAACGTCCACTTGTCAGTAAACGACTCAAAGGATCTACTTTGCATAGTTAACACTTAATGTACCATTTTAAAAGTATTTCTTAGAAGAATCGTTTTGTAAATTTTAATTTCTTAAACATTCTTTAAACTCAACTTAATGATTCATTTCATAATGGCACGAAATCGGCTTTATCCATTCGAGACAAAATTGGCCTGACGGAAAGTCGTCCAATCGGCGTTGCCACACAAATTCCCATCGTAGCTCAAGGAAGCACAAACAATCCAGTCTCCAGGTACACAGAAAGAAGAAATTTTCAGAGCTTGGAGTTAAAAATTCCCATTACAGCTCTTGATGTAAAAAATATAGGAGCATTTTTATTAATTTAATTTGAAAATATACGAATCAACAGCATCGCAACATACTCGACAGTCATTTTGACTTTAACCATTAGAAACTTTAATCCTCCAAAAATCAAATCTTTAAAAATTTGAAAGAACTGCTGGATTCTGTACCTTTTATGCAATTAATACCCAATTTCCAGAATAAACACACAGCCTATTCCTTCCACAACATTAGATATAGATTGTTAGGCAGATGCACACTGGGCAACAAAATTAACACAAAGTTGGGAAAAGATTCAACCAATCGCCCTCCATCAAAATCAAAAGGGACGAGCGTTGTCAATGTTCGACACCCGTCTCGGTCTCATAGCTGCCCTTCGTTTCAGTTGATCCTTGTAAAACTACACTACATACTAAAGATTTCATTCACCAAAGCACATGGTCTACATGTGTGATTTGATCTATATAAAGGTACCTTAAGTCCTACCCCTATCTATATAGACCACCTCACCCTCTCGACTTTTCACCTTCAAAATTTAATAGCGTCAATGCCCCTCATATACGAGGTAACGTGTGAAACTTCGTTTCTTAAACTTTACCCCATCCTGAGATATTAAGCGAAGTAGTGGCCGACACACATGGTCACGTCCATTAATTTTTTTCTTTTTTTTTACATTTTTGGTTTCCGGTCTCAACACGTGGAATTTGCAAAAAATTCGGAGGGTTAAGCTTGACACGATCCATTATTTTCCTTTTGTTACGTATACATATACGTAACAAAGGAAAATTAACAATTAAATTCCTTACAGTAGTTTCAAATAGTCACGTGTGACGTCAAGTTTCATTGTTACACATCGTAACAACGAAAAATTCATTTCATAGGAGACAACGAAACCATCCAAACTTAACACGTATCAATCCGAAATAATCAACGATTAATACAATAAATATTAATATTTTAAACGAAATATATCTGTAAAAAATTATTTTTAACGGCAAAATTAGAGAAATTCGACATCTATCCTCACCTCTTCCTTGCCAGACGATAAATGACCCCACGCAACGGAATTGCCGTGTTACGTCGCTAGGAAAAGAAGAAAAATAGCCAAAATGATACCGAACGGGAAAATTATTTATTAGAAATTATTTTATTTTAATATTTTTTATATAAAATTTAAATATAATTAATTATTATTAAGGTATTGACGATAGGATAAAATAATAATTCGACCGTTACGTCAGAATTAATTAAATATCGATATTTAATTAATTAATTATGACGTAATATATTTTGTCATTATCCGATTAAATATCGATTTATAATATTAAAGTTCCGATAATTTGAATATCGAACGAGCGGAAAATATTTTCGCTTTCTCGAAAGCTCGATTTAACGTTTGAATTTCGGGCTGTGTTATAAACGAGTTACCGCGATTTAACGCCTTTCTAGTGTACCTAACTTCCGTTTAGGCGATATGTGCCGTTATAAACGTTTTTGTGTAAGTTTGCTCGTTACAGGCTGGGCCGATCCTCAATGGGGTCATGAGATCGATGGGATAAGGCAATCTGCCAATGAGATGTATCGCCCGAAAAGATTTTCAATGGGAAATTGTCCCTACTTAGGAACTAGACACGTGAAGAAAACCCGGAAAACTCCGCGTGGACTGTTGGTGAGGCACAAACCCACGACCGGTTTTATCCGTTTGGCCGCCGTTGGGCTCAAAATGGGGTCGTGTGGACCGATTCTCAATTGAATTTCAATTCAAATCACTGAGGCCAATTGTGTTTTGCCATACAAATCATCAATTTTGTTGCTGTAAAACTTAAAAGGTAAGCTTGTAGCTGTTGCCAGTCAAGACGGAATAGCGGTGTCCGCTCCTGGATCAAATCTGGGCAAGCAATTCTCAAATGGATGATAGGTCTTGCCCGATTCTTCCCATTAATTAAAGGCCTATCTAAACTCGTGAGGATCACAGATGAAAAAAGTCCTCTCTGTGCCCTCGGCCTGAACAAGGAATGGAGAATGACTTCCCACACGATAAATTTTGAATGTGGATTAGATTTGAAGGTCTTCGTGACGTTTGTTAACATCTTACTACGTAGCCATTCGATCAATACACAAATAAGAAGCAGAGATACACAAACCCACAGCACCGACTGCGAGAGGGCACGGATTTGAGTAATCGGGGTGCAACAATAAGTGAATTTGTAGGGACCAATGCAGGATTTGTGCACCAATTTAGAGATTTCCGGTTGACAAAAGTAATTTTGCAAGTACTTGTGTTTAAGGATATATAATTCTGAACACGTAACACCCACCGAACATCTCAGGCATCAAATACTTTAGTGTAAATTAGCCTTATATATTTGTTTATACGCTTCAAACATAAGTGAACTCCAACAAAAACTGTATTATAGGGATTTTATTAACATAATACAGTATACATTAAAAAATATAAATGATATTTTTTCATCTATTTATTTGATAACATCAAGCAAATTAGTATTTTTTCTCTACATCATAAAGCTTAAAACTTTCAACAATTCTCCAACAAAATAACTAAGTATTGTACATGTCTGTACAAATATATAAGTGTATACATATATATATACTGTATATATAATCAATCTCAAATGGGACATTTTAGTGATAAATTTGTTAACATTTTCTAATTATTTGCGTACAAAAACCTAAATATATTATTTACAATCACTTCTATGCACAGGAATGTTGATTTATAAAGTACATACTTAAGCAAGAATTGAAATTTTGTATGGTTTGTGAACTTTTTTAGATTAAACAAACTAATTTTGGCACAATATAAAAAATGGTACAGGTTTTACAAACGAGTCCACATCTTTTCCACCTTGGGAAATTATATGAATTCTAAGGACCGATCGAACAAATGCAGAGAAATAGTGCAAGGAGTTTGACAAATGCTGCAAGTTGGACTAGGCGGTGCCGCTTGCTGCGTTACCGGTTTGTGGTGCAATGGCATCGTGGCCGGGACGACAAAGTTTGCAAAGTTCGGCCACGTTTGCCATTCGCCACTTTGTTCGATGTCAAAGTGTAGAAGCGCACTTCTAGTCGACTACAAATACCAAAGTCGAATGTCGTTCGTCTTCGGCATTTGTCGTCGATGCGGTGCCGCACTGACCAGAATTCGACTGCAAATTGGACAATATTCTTCTGAACTCCGGCAAAAACTAGCCTCCTCGAAATGCCCATCGACTACCCTTAACTTGCAACGTCTCCGAGCTTCTCGAGCTACTTCTCGTAATTGCATTTTGCTCGATGGCCCGGCATTCTCGATTAAAAGTGTTAGTTAAAAAACATGTCGAAGTACAAAAGAAATAATCTAATTTAATATATTAATCTTATATAAAGTAAAATTATATACAGAAATAAAATTATATAAACTACTCTTTATGTAAATAAATAAAAAAAAACAATTAATTTTATGTCAATGATTAAAAATACTGTATAAAGAAAATTCAATTATAAAACAAATGATAGACATTGGAATGATTTCTACAAATTTCATGAAAGTTTCTTAGTTCTAAACTGTTAGAGAGGGTCGATACTTTGTGGTGGTCCCTTTATCAAATTATCAGACCAGATAAATGAATATTTATGAACTTAAACAATTTATTTTATGTTGAGAATGCATTTGATATTTCTAATTTTCAATTATAATAGTGTTATAAAGTAATGTTTCCCAACTAGTGGCCAATACAATTTGCTAAATCATCATTCTGATTCCCACTTGTTACTCAAAAATGGTTCTCGCTTACAACAGTTTACCGACACGAAGCCATAACATCGCTCTCTTTATCATAATGTACCAGTGAAAGACATATCCGTGCAGCGCACAATGGAAAGGCTGACTAGCACTCAACAATGCTTTTACACCGATCAATACTTAATTTTTCTGCTTTGCCATTAGGGTAAAAGTCTCGATTTCTAAATGCACCCATCCGACTCAATTTATAAATGCACCCCTTTTCCATTATGGTCCGACATAGGGTCAGTTTTGTCGCTTTCCATTATAGACACTGTCATAGCGAGAACCAACCTTCAGACGATTTGAGATAAAAATCTGAATTGTAACCATCAAAATAATGCTTACTACTATAATTCAACTGCTTGCATGTGTAGATGGATAGTATCTTGACACATTAATCTCCTCTTTCCAACTTCTAGTCAATCCTGGTATAATGGTATTTGAGACCAATATGAGCCACATAACCATCTTCCATTACATACTAAGCAGTAACATGATTGATAATACTTCCAGATAATATCAAGATTTTCTAATATATTAAAATGAGATCATCAGTCGACGAAGATTGGGAAACACTACTCAAAATTAAATAATTCCTTCATTTGACTAGGAGAGAGAATTATTTACAATTTAACTTACATGCGAAGTGTAATTATGATAAATTAATAATATTAAAGCCGATTCTAAGAATTACAAACACAAGTAAAGTTTTGTAAAGCTGAAAATACAAAATATAAACTATTAAAAGCTTGCATTCACAAAAATAAAAGCATTGTATCTACACAATTTCAAATTGCAAACTCACCGATACTGGATTAATTCATTTTTCTTTCTCCGCTTGTTTGCTCCTCTCCTTTGTATCGATGATTCCTAGATTCATGCATGCTATTATCATTTGCAACAAACTGATTAAAGTCTTGACAAACGAAACCGGTGCAGATATTATTGTTATAAGACGGAATAGTCCCAAACCCAAAACTGTAGGAAAAAATTTTAACTTTTTATTCAAAATTTCTACGATAAATTTCATATATTTATCGAAATCATAATTAAGTCTACACATTAAAATTAAGGTAGTAACTGTTTAAATATATTAATTTGGCTTTAAAAATATACTCCCAGCTTTTTAAAAACTACTTATTAACATGCAGTCTCGGATGTTAAAGGAGATAAAATGATCTACGCTTCTATGGCTATTGCCAATTCTAAACGTTTCTATGGCTATTAAATGGCAGTTTGTGAAATGGAGGTGTTTGATAAGACAAGTGTTGTTTTGGACTAATTAGTTCTTCTAAGAAACTTGGTAAATTAAGGGTTGAACCTGGAATGCCTTTCCTCTTCACTAAAAAATGAAGAGAAGACAAAGAATTCACAATGGATTATTCTCTACAATGCACATAAAATTTTAAATAAACAACTGTACACTAAGGGCACGTTTACTTTTAGCTATCTTCCAAGCTCACCAAGCTGACACCTAGCGCAGCCTGATGTCATACTAGCACGCTCGTAAAAGTATACACAGTAACGGACATCGCCATCTTTGAACAAACTCCAAGCTCGACGTAAATTCTCCAAGCATGCCAGGAATGCCAGCAATGACATCACGGGTGCGAAAAGTAAACACCGTGCTCATTGATAGCTAACAAAAATTATACAGGCTGAGTGCACTAGGGGTGAGATCGGAGCTGAAAGTAAATGCACCCTTTCTCAAGACTTTAATTAAAATGAGATGATGTGCCAAATTATTGGGTTATAATAAAGTTAAATTAATAATTTAATAATTATAAATGAAGGAATTTGTGTAGAGACAGAGTTAGCTTGTCATCTCGTGATAATTATAATAAATTAAGTTTAGTTTTGAATTGAATTCTGGAAGAAGAGAATTAGCCCGGAGTGGAACTGCATAGATCTCGGGAATTGTGGGTTTGAGTTCCATTCCAGGCAATTATTTTCTTCCAAAAGTTCTAAATTAAAAATTAATTTATTATAATTACTAAAATTATCACAAAATAGTGGACTAACTCTACACATATTACTTCATATATAATTATTAACTTAGCCTTATATAGCCTGATAATTTGGCAGAGCATCTGTTTTAAACAATTTTCATTGAGATGTAAAATAAGAATTGGATTGATAGTATAAGGTAATGCAACACACACGAAATCTGCCAAAAGGGAGATGTTTTCCAGAAGAACTTTCTACGAGAAACTGGTCCCTATTTAGATATTAGACATGTGAAAACCCAGAAAACTCCATGCAGCCAGCCCACTAATGAGATGAAAACTCGACTACTAAGATGATATAAAATGGATGATAGATATAAAATACGGAATCACACAATTACTATTTAAGAGATTACAAGAATTTCGGATAAATAATTTTCAGTACTTTTCAAATTTATTATTATTATAAATTATATACTAACTTGTTGGTCCTTCAGTGAAATGTAAAAGATACAGCATACAATAAAACAATTCGTTTCCGGCACACATAGTAAACAGAATGGGCTAAAAAGTCAATATTTAAATTAATTAAAAATTTACTATCATCAAATTAAATACTAAATTCTGTTTCTTTTTTCATATTGTTTCATATAAATCATGTAAATACAAAAACATAATTAAAATTAAGTTCAATTTCCATCGAAATTTAAGTAGAAATTGTTTTATTTATTGGAAATTTGTGGAAAAATTATAAAGACTAGAAACAAAAATATGATAATGAATAGAAATAGGTATAAATAGAATATAAAATCAGAATATGGGCATTAAAGTTTACATGACCCACCACAGCTTTCAGCGTGTCTGATCCATATATATGATAGATGAGTAATAATGCCCCAACAAATATATTAATAAATTGGGTCTAAGAAGGATTTTAACCAGAGGGCCAGAAAGCAATCATTTCGCAGATTTCAGTAGGAAACTTGTTACTCAAAAGCAACAGAAAATCTGACAGCAACATAAGAATGGCTTCAGAACCTGTTAAACCTTCGTACAATAACATACACTCTTCCTTACTACTGCAAGTCTCGGTGGCTCAGCCTAGATTTGCAAGATTTACTACATCTTACTAACACCTGAATATAATATAAGCATTTATATGTATAAGAGTAATCTTTATAAAAGAAAGAAGGCCGACAGAAAGAAGGACTAGATCTTTTATTATTAATAGCGGAACCGTCTACCAGAATTTGGAAAATGTGGGAGAAAATAAGACATTCACCAGTCCCAAATAATATGATATATCACATTGTTATTGTATTGAAAAATTTTATGCTCGATAGTTTTAGTTCTTTAGTATACGGGTTATATTAAAAATTGTAAATACAGTGCACTGTATATATTAGATATTCCTTTGTATTGGTTAACTATTGGTGTTATAATTATTATTTTAGTGTGTGTTTGTAAGCTGATGAGGGGTCTTTGTACCCGAAATGCATCCTTACCTAAATTCGAAATGTGATTATTAAAGACTAACTTTCTTGTAAAAGATCTGGTTTTTCTTTCTGTCGGCCTTGGTGTGATAAGCCCTCCAAATTGTTAAATCCTATTTATTAGGTTATCTAACTCTATCTCATTCATAGTCGTGGGCTAAAAGCATCATTTATTATTATTATTATTATTGTTACCTCTCTGGTTATAGTCATCAGCATGACAACAGCTAAAAGACAAAAGTCATGTCATCAGTATGTGTGCACACAAGACACAGAATTGTTGCAAGAAAACCAATGGATGTTGTAAGTTACTATTTGTGCTCTTGTGCCCATTTTCTACAGGCTACAAAAACTACAAAATGAGCTCCAGTGTGAGAATGACCATGTTGTCAATCATGTCCTTAGATGATGGTATAAACATCTCTACAATGGACTTTTTTAATTGTATATATAAATAAATTATACCTATGCATAAGGACTTGTCTTTACAGTTGGTAACATTAGAAATGATCAGTCCGATAGTTAGGTCCTCTGGCAAACGACAACAGAATTGTTGCCAGTTTACACAACCCCATCCGGTCGCACTGCCAATCCTAGTCATATATAAGTCACCGCATTGTCGCAGCCTTCCGCAACTCCGGCAACCATCAAAATACAATTTTATCATAGTGTAACCTGTGTACACACCTGATTTGAGGTTAACAATTACCTCATAATAACAAAAATATGTTTCAACAATTTGTCAACTGTGTATACATGTCATAGTCCTAACAGTAATGAGTTCTTGAAACGTTATTTTTGGAAATAATATAAATTGAAAGAAAAAGCATTGTATTTTTCTCATATAAAAGATTTTTATATAATATAAAACAAAATACATAAATATACACTTACTCTAGAAGTATAATATATTTTCATAACAGGATTTTCGGCTGAATCAATAAATTTATGATTTGTCTTCCCTTGCATCAGAGATCTGAAATTAAAATATATAATTTAGAAAACAGGTTTTAATTATTACAATAATATATTTAAAATATTAAAATATATATAAGAAATACTTACGTCTGTAAATGAATCCAATGACTGGCAATATCAATCGTCATACTTAATTGGAATAGAAACATGTACGAAGGATAAAAGTACGACAAAGCAACAAGCAGACACATAGTAGCGCAGCGGTCTGTCAACTGGTCCAATATGGCTCCAAATTTCGTAGCTACAAATAAAGTTATCTTAAAAATTAGAAATTATTTTAGAGATTAAACAATATTAATTTATAAAATTGGTTACCCTGATTTAACCAACGAGCGGCGTATCCATCAAACGCATCGAGCAGGCCACTTAAAAGATAACAAAACGAAGCCTTAACGTGATCAAACGGCATATAATAAAAGGAAATAAATGCCAGAATAATTCGTGCATATCCTGAAATATAAAAATGAAAAAGAATTTTTAAATGCGTCGATTTGTTTACATATATTATTATATTAACTGTGTTCAAAGTAACAAATAATGTAGCAGAAATTAAATTATTACAATTTCTACCACATCAATTTCAATTGTTACTGTAGTTATAAATATTTAAATGGTTAACGAAACATAGTTTCCTTTCCAGGAGAGTAAGTTTTGTATAATTATCTAAATAATTGTATAAATAATAACATTCAATTTATATTCAGTGCTGTATTTGCACTTTTTTACTCTTATAAACTACCACTTCTAATATACCATTCATTACATATTCATGGTAATAAAAAAAGATAAGCTTAAGATCTTTGTGACAGGCCTTTGGCAACAAAAACCGAGGAGGACATTAACAAAAGTAAACATATAGGTAGTTAGGTCCTGCTATCCTATCTTTGATTACATCAAAAACTACAAAGACCCACTAAGAGAGGAGTCTGTCAAATTCCACTAGTAGAAGATAAAAGAGGGCCTGTTAAATATTACATTGTTAGCACTAATTGACAACTAAATACCAGACTAGATGAATCTAAAAGAAATACTATAAAAGCCCTATCCATACTCCAAACAGCCAGTGAAAGACAGAACTGATCTCAAGAAATCTCCATTATTTTGATTCTGATATTAGCAAACACTAGTTGTGAAAAGATGATTGGTTGAATGAATCAAAGTTTGCCAAAAGTTGAGACATTTTCAACTCCTAGCAACAAAAGGAGATGAACTAGCAGTTCAATGTGAACCTAGCTTAAGTTATATACATCATCTTTACATCAAGTTATACACAACATCCTGTAATGAGTAGAGGGACAGAAAATAATACCCAGATTTGTAGTAAATTACGAGATTTGGACCAGATTAAACCTGGATCCGTACAACGGTAAGCCGATCGCAACCGCGAAAACTCAATAGAATAAATGAAATGCATAATTTAACAAGTATACATATAATGTTTCCTATATTTTTGTAATGTGTTATATTTGGTAAATACAATACAACTTCAATACAACTGGATAAGCAAGCAAACGACACAGCAATTTGTTTGAAACGGGGGATTGGATGTTTCGACAGATTCGGCCATTCCGACTGACAATTACAATAGCCGGTACGTACGATCCTATATCTGCCAAATGATGTGCAACACAAAAACACCAGTGATTTTATTGGTGTTATGACGTCATGATAGTACACGGTTAGTACCTTAAATGAATTCCAGAACAAACTGTGACAAAAAATACTTTGCATGTTTAAAAGAATCACTATAACAGATAGCATTTGACAGAAAAATACTCAACTGTTCTGTAACTGTTAAATGTGCCAAATGCAACAATTGGCTCGCTTGTCCAGCTGTATTAAACAGGCTGCATCATTAGTTTGGTAAGATTGTAAACGTGATAGACACTATTGGGACTTGAAAAGAGCTGTAGAGCATGCCCATAGGAGGAAAAAAGTCAAAGGAACCCTATCTTTATATGCAACCCTTGGCAAGATATAGCCCCCCCCGAAATCAGTGTACTTCCAGGTGTTACAGGGAGTCATGCCACTTGCTCTGCTAAATCTATCGCATTTTTAATCTGTAGTACCTCATTATTAATGTCCCTATTGGCATAAGTAAGACCTTATAGTGATATAACGGGTGTCTCCTTTTTCATCTCCAAGTGTCTCATATTTTATCTTTTGAAAGAAAAATATAAGACAGGAAAAAAATTTTTTTGCTCAATATTTCTCATACACACAGAAGAAATGAATACTTCATTAGATTTTAACACTAACTGTAGACCTTCTCGTGTATTTCTCTTTGTAAAATACCGGTCCTAACAAATGCTGTTACAAAAGGTTTGAAAAGTGTCTCATATTTACCCACATTGACCCTAAATAATAAACGCATTAACTTTCACCAACCGAAAACAGTTTCTACCTCAAACTGGTACTAACACCCATTCTCCGTGCTCGGAGTCAGTCAAGGTCCGGAATCGCTCGCCTCGACCAACGGTCGCCCACGTCTCGGCACTCGCACGAAGACGAGCCCCAGACACACACAAAACTACATAACGTCGAGTACTCTACGAACGGTAGAGCGGACCACTCGCACCGAACAGTTAAATGCCGTAGTCTTACAACGACTCCCAAACACGACCCAGTTTTGGGGCGCCGTATCCGGCAACGGGTCGGACGTAGAGGTACGATGCCTTTGACTTTTTCACTCGTAGGAGCACGTTCTATAACTCCGTTAAGGTCCAACGACGTCATTCAATCCGTATTTATGTCACCGGTTGGCTTATCCAGCCATATTAAAGCAGATTTACCACAAATCACGGTTTACAAAAGAAATTGCGTCAAACGGTACCACGTGACGTAATTGACGTTTATAACCATCGCACGTCACGATATAAACGTTTATCGTAATAAACATAAACATTTTCCGCGAATATTCGTCACTTATCCGTAAAAACAAGCGCTTATGTTTCACATTTTCAAGCGAACTTCGCCTTACCGATTAAATTTGGCACAAACAAAAATATATTTTCGGCCATTTTGCGTATTTAAACTGAAAACGTGACTTGTAATTTACACAAATTCCCTTATTAATGCGAACGTCACTCGATAAACAACCAATCAAAAATTTTTTTAGGTTCAAGAAACCTTTCGAGTGATTTTTGTTTACTTGTACGTACGTTGCCGGATGCCGAACTTAACTGCTAATAAAAATCGCCAAAAAGTCTCCAACGTTTAAATAATTTTTTAGTGGTTTAGAAGAAGCGTTTAATAAATTTCGAAAATTCTCTTAAATATTTATATTAAAATATAAATATAATTATAAATAGCATCAATCTTTAAATATTCATAATCGCGTATCGTTAAATACAACCGCCATTTTGTTTTTATTCTCTATTGAGAATGTAATAGTAGATTGCGAATCACGTGCGTTTTCAATGAAGTTTAGCATCGGCTGCCTGGAATGAGCGAACCAATGAGAAAGTTAGTTTAAAATGAAACGGGCTTGTCCCCGATTTAGTAGTTAACCCAATAACCGTGGAGTAGGGCATTTTTATTCTTTCCATCTTGTAAGCACTTTTTACGAAGTCCAGCGTGGGTTTGGCCAGGCCCACAATGGGGTTGCCGAGAGGTAAGAGACAGACCCCGAAATATCTAGGACCGACAACCCCTGGGTTTTTGACACCTCCCGAATTCGTTCCCGAGTTCTCTAGAGCGATAGGCTGAAATCTTATTAGATATACACTGCCCTACCATTAATATCCGAGATCTTAAACAAAACATAATATATTGTGCTGAAACCTTTAATTGCTAAGACGACCCTTACTTTTTGTGATATACTCTCCACAGATTTTTATAAATATCTGGTGAAATATTCTTCCATTCAGCCTTTAACATGTCTACCAGTTCAACGTTCTTCCTTGGACACTCTTCACGAGAACGCAACTGATGCTCCGATCCATCCCAAAAAACACCGAATAGAATTGATCTCAGGCTTTGGGCTGGTTAATCCAATAATTTATCACCCATGTCCGCAAATCATTCCATTATAAACTGAGCAGTATGCTGGGTGCTTTATCTAGCTGGTAAACAGAGGTCTTCCTCGAAGTACTGCAATAACGTTTTCCGCCTTGTAGGCACTAAGAGAACCTCTTTTAGCAAGCGCATTATGGGTTTAGCTAGGCCCACAATAGGACTCCAGGGTAGAGAGGGACCGGTCCTGATATATCTGGATAAACCACCATCCAAAAAATTCCTAGTGCTTTTTGGCCCGTCCAGATGCGATCCCGGATCGGTATGGCCGGTGTCACTTCGCCCACTCGGCCATACTTGCATGCTCCTTGCAATGGCCTGTTGAAAACGTGTTAATTTTACTGGACCCCCTCTTCTATGGCCTATTGAAAACCCAATAAAAGTATTTATAGCCAACACAATGATGTATTGCTTATCTAATACCGATTTTTAACATGATCTGCTATTGTCCGTATATTAAAGGTAGGGAAGTTTATTAATGTATCGAGTAATAGAATACCTGTACGTGTGTGTCTGCCTGTATCAAATTCCGAAATTACATAAGATTAATTTCATGCAATGGGATGAAATTTTATCCAGTAACATTATTACTTCTTTCTAGTAACATAAATCAATGAAATTAATACAAACTCCACTTTTAACGGATATATTCTCAAAATAAAAAAACATAATAAAAGTAATACAAAATTATGAAATTTTCTTCGGTTATCTGTTTATTAATTAATGCAGTATACTGTACAATATGTTTATAATGTTGTACGCTATACTGCAATATTATAAACGTACATCAATATTTGAATATGATCACGCACACAATAAATCTATTAATATGTTCTTCTGTCAGACTGTGTGGACGATCGGTGAGAATGTTTTTATACAATGAAAACTTTCTTTCGACCTCGAACGTAGTCGTGGGATAGTATTTCAGCAAAGGTACTGTACATCCTCGGGGATCTGCAACCAGACGGCTGTTAACTCGGCGAAGCGCAGAAAAACCACTGTTCTTCTCCAAACGCGCCGTTAGCTTCGTGCGAAGTTTATCTCTACATAAACCAGGAAGGTTCTGTATAGAATCCTCTACTTTTTAGAGATTCTTCGAGTGACAACCTTCTTGCTTCCGTATCTGTAAGAACACCGATTGGGGAAGAGATTTTTATTCCCTACCGTCGGGATGATCTAAGGTCTACGCGTATGTGAGTGGCTGTTTTTAAAGGCAGCGAAGACAAGTGTTTTACAGATGCAAACCGTTTATTCTGGACGAAATTGCTTATATATTGGGCCCCTGGACAGTGTTGAGCAAAAAGTTCCAAGTCTCGAAAGTCGGTGCACAAAAGATTAAAGGATGCACGGAAAAAAAACCGGAGATACACGAACACAAAAGAAGTCTAGTGGAAGTTTTAGTGGAAGTACCGTTGTCCTTGGAATTGGTGCTTTTATAAGTTTTTCGGGATCGGCATTTTGCTAATTGGATAGACCTTACATCACCGTTTTCTGATTAATCTTCCACCCGTCTCCGGGTGTAAATGGAGCTTGGCAAATTTGCTCAAAAGATAGCCAAGACACTAATAATTCTTATGGAGATTATTAACTAAAATCCTTATAAAGTTATTCACACATATCGCTTTACATAAGGATTCTACAATAACCTCATAGGGATGCTTTCAATGTATTCATCTCTCTCCATCCAACATTTTTATGCTCTAACAGAAATGAATACGACATGCTTCGTGCAACTAACACAAATATAAGGATGAAAATTTAAACAAAGTAGTTCCCATGCCAAAACTGACTTACGTGACTTCCTTTTTTTTACGAATAAGAGAATTTCCGATGAAACCCAACCCATAAAGACCCACATAATTTTGCTTCCTCCGTTGATTTTCTATTAATTCATTTGAAACTATTAATTCTATATCATTATCACGGTTGTTTTAAATTACAAATCAAACAATATTTTACCATAATGTAATCAATTTTCGTGCCATCCAACGCTTTTAATGGCCGCTCACTATGGTCTTCGACGATGCTTACAGGAATTGCCAGCGAATTTTAACGAAATTTAAGCTAATTTATAGGGTTTAAACTATAAATTTTATGGAAGACGAAGTTAATTTATGCAAATTAATGCTAAATTCGAACAACTTCGAGTTTAAAATTCGTTGAAGTCGTTTTGAAGGGCAACGACTTCACGAAAACACGTTGCAAGGTTTTACTAGTTAATGATTTGGCTTTCAAACCGATTTTTTTGTATTAATAGTATCTTCTAAACAATAAAAATTAGAATAAACACGTAAAAAACCCTTCGAAATTAATCTTCTAGACGTTTGAAAGCTTCCAGAATACGAATTTCCTGAAGCACTTTCATTGCAAACCCTCTGGGGCAATTTATACCAACTTCTTTTAACCTAATAGTGTTGTGTATTTTCATTTAGATTCTCAATTTAGATAAAAACTAAGCTTCCTTGTACCATTATTTATCGATAGATCGAGAGAAATTTGATATTCTAGATTATACAACTTGAAATAATGCCAACGAAACCGAACACGTCCTTGGATATCTTCGAGGAAAATCCCAAGTTGATTTTCAATTAAATCCAGTTTGCAAGAAGTTAAATTGTACTACACTAAATATATATTTTATTGTACGATTACTATAGAATTTTACGTTTATATTTAACGCTCTGATGATTAACAATAAGTATTTTTAGTAGTAAATTACGGTTTTAAACTTGTAGCATCCATAAATTCTTAGGTAATCGCCTTCTACTTTATGGTTTTTATTTTAATAAATTATGTACCACGTGTTACAGATTCTAGAAAATTTGATTCTAGACGTATCAAATTCTCGATTCGTAGTGTTTTTGGAATTCAAAAAACACGAGCGTAACCCACACATGCTGTCAAAGTCCTTACTTTTATTCTAAGAAATCGCGCCGAGCAACTAAAATAAACATTTAAACGCCACTTTATACTATAAGAACCACTAAAAATTTTAATAATTTCTTAAATTTTAGTGTTTTTATTGTGTTTTTTAGGATTTTAATCGACACCGAGATGACTTTCTACATGAAAAATCACGTAAATTATGTAGGTTAAGAACCAGTCAGTCCGAAAACTGGATGAAAATAGGTCAATGTCAGTTTGAATTTTGGGATATTCTAAAACAAATGACACTCGTATTAAGTTTTTTTGACCTTTAAATTCCTAAAAAACCTGCCCATTAACCAGTCATTCACCTGTGATAAGGGAAAGGCCCCTATTCGATTCACCTATACGTCAGAGATAGGAAGGATATCCTGGTTTTGTTAGTTCTTGAGGAGGATCCTCACTCGATACAGCTGCTCGTAACAAAGGGATACAAAAGGAGAATAACCGAAATTTCGGTGTCGATTTGAATTATAACAGGTAAGTCACGTGATCGGCATGCTATTGGTTAATAGAGCGTGCAAAACACACCACACACGCTCTCCTCTGTTGTTGTACAGTCAAGTAACGAGTAGCGCATCGTTTTCTAAGCGCTACCTGTAATAATTTATAAATATTTCAAATTAAATTTTGTACAGGTGAGTTTTTATATTTAATTTTCTATTTGTTTTTCTTCGTAAGAAGGGCCAGGCCCTTCTTTTTTTTTACCAAATTTGTGCGTAAGTAACCATTCGAGTGTTTACTTCGCTACACGTTTATCGGCGCGATTCTACGTCATAATACGAGTGGGCCTTGCCGAATTTTATCCAGTTTATGAAGTTTTTTTAGGCATGATTTTAAGTCATGTGACGGCTTGCACGATTTCCTCATCCTCTGGCCGTGAACACGAATATGGTAAAGCGAAATTACATGATTAATTTATACTAATGGATGCGGGCACGACAAAAAATACATATTAAATATGCCACATATCCTCTTATACGTGTATAAATACGTGGATTTTTTATGGTTTCTTTCATTTTTAATACGATATAAAGATGAGCAACGAGAAAAACTGCAGGAAATTTCAAAAAAACACAAAAAAATCGTAATTTCTACACCGTTGTACACGGTTTTTTTTTGTGTTGTACAGTACAATCGTTTAATTTCCTCCCCAAAAAACCGAGTTTCCGACTAATTAATGAGGGCAAATTAAGTGAAATCGTGTAAAAAATCTTATTATATAGCAATCTCCGCGTAAATCTAGAATTTACATTGACTTACAACACGATACTTCCGCTGGAAAGTGTAGAATTACAATAAGAAACGATGGAAAATTTCGAATATTTTCTATAATTTATTGCCATTTTTATTGATTTCTACAATCGTCATCGATTATTTTTGAAGGACGTCGGAAACTTCAATTCAAATAAAACGCATTTGAAGTCATTACGTAATTCGAATTGTGTATCCTCTTTGTGACGTCGGTGTTTTAGGTAACACGAGTGCGTGCCCTAAATCTTGTGTGCCGAGTGTGAAGAAAAATCACGTGTCACTTACTTTGGAGCATAATTGACACGTAAAAAGTCACTTTTGGCACGTGATCGATATCTAAACAATTAATTTTTGGTGTCGATTAACGTGTAATAAATCCTCTTTCCTGGTTTAAATTAGCTTCGGCTGCATAATTAGCATACAAAAATAGAAAAGTAACACTCGAAAATTAACTTTTAACGTCTAAAAACATACATTAATTATTTTGGGGATAAATTAACGATTAAAAACTCCTTTTTTTGGTATAAACTAGGTTTTTTTAATGTCTTTTAGGCGCGTTTTAATGTCTTTTTGCGTGTTTGACGCGTATTTAACAGCCAAAAATTAATTTTTTTTTACTATTTTATCGTCGATTAACATCTAAAATACGCGATAATTTGGCATAAATTAACCTTTGGCACATCCGTAATGCCCTTTTCTCGTATTTTAGCGCATCAATTAATGGATAAAACTCCGTTTTCTCCGTTAATTTTCATACAGGACCATCCAAAAAAGTTTTTTTTCCTTTTTCCCTGCATAAAAACGAGTAATCAACGTCTAAAAATTACGTTTTTCGGCTGAATAAACATCTAAAAAATCAACTTTTTTCTCGAAATAACGTTAGAAATTGGGATTTTTTCAAAGATGTTCGTAATTAACAAGTAAAAAATCCGTTTTATTGTTTCGTCAGTTACTTTTTGGCGCTTAAATAAATGACCTTGAGACCAATTCCCAAGGTCACAATTTGAATTAACGAACTTTTCCCATAGGTTTGTCAGTTGCAAAGGTATTTTATTAAGGAAAAAAGTCGAATTTTTTACATAGAGTTCGTGTCAATGGCTACTACAACAGTAGATCTGCTGTAATAAAAAATAAACATTGCCTAAATAGGCTAATTTCCCGTATATTAAACTATATATCCTGTATAATAATATATATTTTTTTTAAAACACGAGCCAACGTTAAATTAATGTCTAAAAAACTCTAAAAATAGAATTAATATACGTATGCTGTACTTATTGCAGTATTTATTATTAAAATCGAACCTCAAATAAACAGCCGGATGCCAACAACGGAAACCTCTTAACAGCGGCCAAACCCTCAAACGACGGACACTTTTTTATGTCTCCGTCGCTGTCCGCCGTTCGGAGGTTCCACCGTACATCCTTGAGCTATTTTAATATTATTTATTTATTTTCCTTGTTAATTGTTTATCGTATTGTGGAAAGTCCGTGTTAAGTTATAAATAAATTATTTATTACGTAATTTGAGTTCATTTTTGAAGGTTTTTCTGATGTTTTAGACTGTAATTTAGTCAAATAATACAGTTTTAAGATGCTAATTAGTCAAATACGATCATTTTTTTAGGCAAATGTTCCTTTTTAGATGCTATTTAGCCAAGGTTTTGTATGATATTTGGTGTTTTTAGATGTTATTTAGTCAAAGAAATTAGTGTTTTAGGCAATAATTGCTCGGATATTTAGCATATTTACATGCTAATTAGACAATATTCAGTCTGGTAGTTGGTGGTTTTACATGTTATTTACTCAGTTTTTAGGTGCTAATTTGGTAGGTCTTTGCCTACCTTGGTGGACAGGGATTTTGTATTTTTAGACAGACTACTAACCAATTAAAAAATGCCTTTTTTTAACTGAAAAGTAAGCAGAATTGTTACTCGTAAGGTCATTAAAGTATGCCGTTTTTTATTCTTTACATCTAAAAAAATGCCATACTTAAGTCGGGGCAAGATGAAGTTAAGAATAGAACGATTACCATGCAGAAAATGAAACGGATGTGTAAGGTGAATTCCCCTCATTTTCTTCTTATGAAACATAATTTTTTGCCTTATAATATATTAAAAATTTTAGGGAAATTACGTAAGGATATTAACAAATTTCGTGATAATCTCTTATAGACTTTTTCTTCTCGCTACTCTTGGTCACGACTGTGTATTTATACCTATTTGTTACTTAAAAATGGCTCTTTTTTGAGTGGTTATCATGGAAAAAAAGTTAGTTTAAACCTCCAAAATTATATTAAGGGGTTAAAATTTTCTACTTTATATATTTTTAGAGTTTACAAATGATAAATACCGTATTAAAAGAACCTCGATAAGCTCTGGTGTAAGGTAATTTAAAGCACACACACACACGCCCTTATCAATTAAGGATTACCTGGAAACGAGTAATTAAAGTTACTTTTATACAAAAAATGTAATAAAGAAATGTAAATTTAAGAATTTTTTTACAAGTAATTGGCTTAAAGGTTGATCATTTCCTTTTTCCTGTAAGCTACTTCCTTTGTAATAATGGTCAGTCGATTTCTTGTCATTATGGAGATTGTACACATGGATAACGTTTCGTGAGAATTTCTCCATGTAAATAAGTGTTTTGGTATGCTTTTTTTCATTACTTAAAGCGATAATTAATTGTATTTCTTGATTTTTTTACACGACGAGTAGTTACAAGTATGCTTTTATTCGGTGGTAGCACGCTTTTAGATAATGGAGAAGTCACGTGTAGTCTTTTTTTTGGATAATAAGTAGTCATTTTTAACACCCTGCATACATAAAAATGCGATTTTTTAGGTGTTAGTTGAGCGTAAATGCGATTTTTTAGATAATAGATATGATAAAAATAGTGTTTTTAGATCATAGGTAATCACAAGTAAGCTGTTTTTTAGTGTTTAAATTAAGTAAATAAAGCACTGTTTTTAAATTAATTAATAGATTTTTTGTATTAAATTTTTAGGTTGATATTTTTATAATTATTTATATATTTTTTTTTTCCAGAAGATCATCACTTAAAATGAAGTTTGGTTTCAGTACATTAATATTATTACTTACGTTGAAGATTCTAGTTTATGGGCAATTACAATTTACTTACCATAATTACGTCAAAATGACGTCGTTCTTACAAGGAACCGTAAGGAAATATCCAAAAATTGCTCGACTTTATACAATTGGAAAGTCTGTTCAAGGTATTTCTATTATTAATTCATTATTTAAAGATGTAAAAGTTTATTTTTTATCTTCAAAAACGCATATTTTACTTCTAAAAACACACATTTTTCTACTAAAAAAAAGATAAATTCGTTCAAACCTCCAAATATGCAAATGAGAGTGACACTTTCCCAGCGTGGATCATAGAAATTTATGGATATTTTTTGATGTATTCGCTACACAAACGGATCCTCTTTGTCTACTAAAAATGAAATTAAAGAATGGAATTTCCTAAACACATAAAATTACAAACAGAAATACGTTCGAATGTTACCACGCGACCTTCACTCAAATATCACATTCGGGTGTTTTTTAGATGTCGTTACGTTCGTTTGTTTGTTGATAGGTTCAAAGTTTACCAAACCAGTAGAAGAAGGAACCGGAAGTGAAGGCGTAACGCGTGCACGCCCCCCCCGAAACTAGTCAGGATACTAAATATCCTGTGTTTAATGGAATCGTTATTGACGTTTCCCTATTGAAGTAAACAAGTTATTACGTATTGAGAAACTTCAAACCTTGCTTTTGACGTTTATATCTGCCCAAATTTTTTTGCTTTCTCACGAAAATCTATTGAGAAATTTAATAATTATCTTCAGATTCGTGGCACGCCCGTGTTGGTGGCACTCTTACATAATTGATTGCAATCCTTTCGAAGAAAGGAGTGGCATCCTGAAATTCAAGTCCATGCAAAATTGTACCTTATAGAATTGTAAATATTAAACTAAAATTTCGTACTTTCAGGAAGAGAGTTGTGGGTGATGTGCTTATCCAAATACTGCAACGTGGAACGTCCTTTACTCATTCCTAATGTAAAATATGTAGCCAATATGCACGGAAATGAGGTAATTTGCTATGTTTTTTTTGCTCATAACCACTTATTTTTAACACGAAATTATTCAACAACGTTGATTTACACGAATTCTTTAGGCAGTAGGAAGAGAGATGATGTTACACCTAATTGAATACTTAGTGAATAATTACCCAAACGATAAATACGTATCTGCTTTGCTAGATAATTCTATGATCCATATAATGCCTTCTATGAATCCTGATGGATTTGAATTATCTAATGAAGGCGAATGTTCATCCGGACAAGGAAGGTATGTCTGATGTTCCTTATCGTGGATCCTTTGTGTATGTCTTAACAATGTGTACTTTTTTCTTAGATATAATGCGAGAGGTTATGATTTAAATCGAAATTTTCCTGATATTTTTAAAACCAATAATAAAAAAATGCAACCAGAAACCATGGTTGTCAAACGATGGATCGAAGAAAACAATTTCGTACTCTCTGGAAATATCCACGGTGGTGCCTTAGTTGCAAGTTACCCATACGATAATCTTCCAAATTCTAGTGAGTAAATCATAAAATTTAACACCGATTATAACTACTTATTGTGTCTTTTTTCTAACTTTATGGTATATTCTTTCAGTTCAAACTAAATTCACCTTCTTCAGCCATCCTTCTCCGACACCCGACGATGACGTGTTTCGACATTTGGCACTCATTTACTCTCTTAACCATAAAGATATGCACTTGGGTATTGCGTGTAGAGATGGTACACCTGGATTTCCTAATGGCACAACTAACGGTGCTGCGTGGTACCCATTAACAGGTAGGGATTTACGAAATTCAATTAGAACAAATTAGAAAAAACTCAAACTAATGGAACCACGTGGACTCATTCGACGTAGGTGGAATGCAAGATTTTAATTACGTTTGGGGTGGATGTATGGAGATAACACTAGAAATATCGTGTTGCAAATATCCTTACAGACAAAGATTAAATAATTACTGGAATGCCAATAAACGTGCTTTATTAAAATTTCTCGGTGAAGTTCATAGAGGTATGAAATATATTATTATTTAACGTGTTATTTAGTATACAATTATGTTGACGATCTATTAAATTTCAGGAGTTAAAGGGATAATTTATGATATCGACAAAAACCCAATACCTAAAGCAAACTTACAAATTAAAGGTCGTAGTATAAGTTTTCATACAACGAAGAGGGGTGAATTTTGGAGAATATTATTACCTGGAAGCTACGTTTTAGAAGTAAGTCGTAATGCAATTAGGCCACTTTGTATGTTTTTTGTGTTTTTGATGCCATAACACTACACTGCAATGAGCAATACAAGACTTACAAACCATTTATTCGTTCAACAATTACAATCTTTCTTTGAAATTATGCCTTCAGGATCCCTCAGTCGATAAGGCAACTGATGAGAGAAGGCCCTAAATCTTTACCTCGAAGGCCTTGCATTGCTCATTGAAAGTGTAAAACTCTTAAAAAGTTATATAATTTTTTGATAATTTTCAGGTAAGTCGTGAAGGTTATCGACCCACGGAAGTAAGATTTACTGTAAACGACAATTCGGTGACAATTATCAACGTGACCCTTTACGAAATTTCCAAAGCAGAGGTAATGACGGCTCACACGTGGCACTTGATCTTCGATCCTTCGACTGTCACAGATTCCTCCTCTTCTTCTTCTATTGACGAATCAGAAACGGTAAATGATATAAACAGTAGTGGAGACGATTACGAATACGATGCGGTGGATAACAACACCTTTCTCGATGCCACGGAGAGGTTGCTGTCATCCACCATCGAAGAACCCATTGCCGATGCCGTAGCAGAGGATAGTTTACCTTCCTCTTCTACTAAGTTAACGTTCTGGACTATTTTATTAAGTGTTTTACTTCTTTAATATAATTTCGCGTGTTCTCTTAGTACGAAATTCGATAGTACAAAATATAATTGTTTATTATTTAAATACAGCATTTCGTTTTGCCAAAGAACTCCAAGCACTTCCATTACTAATCCTTAATACTCTTGTTTAACGTGGTGTTGGCCTTTGTTTTTGTTGTGTGGTGTGCCTTTTGTGTTATAATATTAATAAAATTTATGTTTTTTCACGTGATTTTTTGTAATTTAATACTAATATGCACTAATTTATTAACATATTCCGTGCACTGTAACTAATTATAATCATTTCAAAAAAATATTAACTGATTAATTTCATGAAATACGTGTTAAAATTTCAAATTTCTCTCATATATTATGGGTAAAAATATTCAATTTTATGATAAATTTCTTTCTTTTAGTACTTTCCTCTTTACTACTTACTTCCTTATAAATTTCATTTCCCGGTTATCGATCTTGATAATAATTTAAAACGCAAGTACAGGTGAGGTATAATGACTTTATTGTATCATTTATTATAATTTATAAGTTATATATAATTATAAAAATTACAAAACATTATACCAGTCGACCCCCCTAGAACACTGTTGATTTTTCCGTTTTATATGAATTCCATGTTGTACGAGTCACTTAGATTTTACAAATACGTGTGCCGGGCTCTGAACGGCTCAGGTATTTGTAAAATTTAAGTGACTCGTACAACATGGAATTCATATAAAACGAAAAAATCAACAGTGTTATAGGGGGTCGACTGTACTCACATTTCGTATTGTCCAAACAGTAGTGTTAGTGATTCTTTAGGCCAATGCTCAGACTTTTCGTGTTATTGCTGGTCGTGCGGGCACTCGGAAAGTGTGGTTTATCGAGGGCACGTTGTAAATCGAAAGCCTCGAAAGACAGGATTATACTACATCTCGGAGAATCAATTACAGGATACCGTTGAGCGCACTGTTTTACATATTAAGAATGGGCAGTATTCCGCTAAGGTCTCTGTATAGCGCAAGTGTTTAGTTGCTTGCAGCGTCAAAAGTGCCATAGTGGTAAGTTTTGGTACTAGGTTTTGTACGGAAGTATTTTCCGCGTGTCTTAAAATGTCACCGTACCAAATTTGGTAGTATTTAAAGTCTAAATCTCTCCGTAAACAACGTTGAACGTGAGGTATATGAACACCTCTCAAATATAGAAGTTTCCATATATTATATAACATTTAAAAATTAATGAAATATCCTTTTATTATATTATTTTATATATTAAACTCGATTCGTAGAAGATACCTTCATTCGGGTACGGTGCTACTAGTTTAAATGTGTTCCTTTGTTTCGTTATTTACTAATTGACAATAATTGCAGTATTATGATACAGGTTATGTCACTTTCAAATTATGCCGAACCCAATTTTGTTAATGTTACGCCCTATTTAATATTTATAAGCGAGATTCCACCTTGCCCGCGCCTGTTACCACTAATTTCACTAGAAAAAGTCTACCTTTACAGAAAAAGTACTAAAAAATTACTCATACTTTTATATTTTCAATAGACGAAAGCTTCGAAAATTGTATAAATTTACATATTGTAAATTGATATTGCGCGTGATCTAGGGTCATAGTATTTGATTTAGAGTATTGGGCCAAAACCAAAGATCAACAAGCGTGCCTGGGGCCCCCTAAAAGCTCGAGGTCCTATGTAAAAAACTAAATTATCTAAGTCTAAACACTACCAGCGAGAGGTGACATTGAAAATTACATTTACGATAATGGCGTGATTTTCCAGTTCCTAAAAGAGGATCATTAACAAGAACAATATATTATAAGAATTTCATTTATTCGTTAATGATTTCTCTCATTTATAATATAAATATTAATTAAAATAATCTTTTTTATTTGCAGAGAAGACCTAAATCCACAAGAGCACCCTTAAAGCCCATTCGATATTCTCCATCCGGTTCACGAATTTATTACCATAGATACAGGCGAGCGAGTAGAACACCCGCCGCCCGTGGACGATAATAGTATTATACAAAGTCTGTTCGAAATATTTAAATATGGAGTTATGGAAAGATAAATTTGCATAGTGCCTTCATTGCGTAACAAGTTGAATATATGTACACAATATATAATTAATTATGTGTAAACGATACGAAAAACTAAACACTGGATAGCGGTATCGCCACAGAATGATTCGTGCCGTATGGCATAATTTGAATATTTTCTTCGCATGGCTTCAGTGGATCGATAACGTGAGAAAATTTCATTTGTTTTTATCAGATTTTATTCAAAGAGTGCAATATATCGATTAAAATCTCAATATCGCACTACACTGTACGCCCATGCTTACTATTACGTAGGACGTGGGTTCGTATCTGCTTTACACTGCCCATTATTATGGGTAGTACGAGTCGGGATATCGTTTCCGACCTCATTTCGGGTCGGGCCGTCCGAATTTTGGGCACCACAACGCTTACGATGTGCTGGTGCCCCACTTTAATTACTTAATCAACCGTATATTTTATCTGTTTTATTATATAATAAAAATAAAAACAAACAATTTAGTTGTTACTAAATAAGCAATAACTCGAACAATTATTTTACTTTAATAATTAAAGTTATCTTTTCATATTTATAATGAGAAATAAATAAAATTAGTGTGAAATTGCCCTTTATTTATTTATTTTGTAGTGTCAATTTTCGTTTATCGAGGCAAACAATAGATGACAATATCATTTTAAAATAACTATTGAAGAATAACACTGAAATGTTTTCTTCGTCACACAAAAGTAGCAATTTGTGTTTGAATCCATCTCCACGCTGAAGAAATCCGTTGCGGTCGAATCCACGATGCGAATTTCTTAAAAAAACTCACGAAAATCTAGGCAAAGATTTCACGTTAGAAATTACAAATTAAATGACCCTTAAGATGTTTACATTTTTGGACTGGAGGGTCCTCTAAACGTCGTTTATAGTGGACACGATTTTGTACACTTATTTTCGGGCCGAATAACTTCCTCGCCTTTAGTCGAAAATTTCTGAAATTTGGCAGGGAGGTTTGTATATTAGGGGCATCGATACCGTTAAATTTTGGTGGTTAAAAGTCGAGGGGTCGAGAAATACAGGAGAGTTGGAGCGTCGTATCTGGACTCGGAGCCGTAACTAGGCAGGTGCAACGGGTGCACCCGCACAGGGCCCACTTGGAAGGGGAGCCCAAAATGCATGTATCTGTTTTATTATATAATAAAAATAAAAACAAACAATTTAGTTGTTACTAAATAAGCAATAACTCGAACAATTATTTTACTTTAANTTTTTCACCTAGCTAAAACTAATTACAACAAATTTTAGGTTTTTATTGTAATATATAGAATAACAATCTTTTATTTAAATATAATTTTGTGAATATGCAATTTGCAAGTTAGAGAGTGATTTTTCACCTAGCTAAAACTAATTACAACAAATTTTAGGTTTTTATTGTAATATATAGAATAACAAATTTTTATTTAAATATAATTTTGTTTTTCTTTTTAAATCTCATCCAATCTTCGTCTGTACAAGACTTAGTTATTTACAAACGCCAAAATTGTTTCTTTAAGAGATCATTTGTTCGTATCATTCTTATTCCTGGAGCCAAAAAGAAATGGTAATGATGTAAGAACTCGAGCTTAATTTTCCATAAATTTACATTGATTATTATAAATCTAAAATTACCTTAATTATTTAGTGGAATTTTCCGAGACCGAGACCATAGCCGAGTCCGTGTCCGTAGGCTCCAAGACCATAGGCGGCTCCAAGACCATATCCTCCATAGCCATAAGCTCCGAGACCCAAACCATAGCCGTATCCACCGAGACCGAGACCAAAACCTGGGTGACGGATGCTGCTGCTGTAGGCTACAGCACGTCCTACTGGTACTCCGGCTCCAAAGCCACCATAGGCACCATAGGCACCATAGAGACCTCCGTATCCGAGTCCCAGATATCCTGCCATGGAGGTGGCAACGAGGGCGAGGAGGAGGACGGCGATCTACCGGAAAAAATTAAGATTTAGGAAAAATCTCCGCTTGGTAATTTACGTTACTTCTGGGCTGGCAATATAACTTACCATAGACTTCATGATGATACTTGAGATTTGCTTTCAACTGTTCGGAGCTGAATGTACTTTCTGGTAGATTGGGCCGGCTTTTATACACCCAAGATTCATATGGGAATTGGCATTCCCGGTTGGCCACCTCGTGTCAACCTTGGATTCAATCCGGTATCGTACGATATGGACTGGTTTTAATAGTTTAGGGTGCCACTCCCTAGAGAATGTCTCCTTGAAAGGGGACTAATCGTAAAGGTTTGATGTTTTTATCTATCTCTATCAAATGCGTCTTGTTTCTGCATAAAATTAATGATTTAACACCTAGCAACTAGATGCGGCCATTGTTAAACTATACACAACGTTAATAGGATTATGGACCTAATTTTCGGGAGGTCTCGTCTATGATACCATAAAAATGTGCCTATCGCGTGTAATGTCACGTATATTAATATCATTAAACAATAGATTCGTTATAACTAAAACACTCGCATCCGAAGTTCAGGGTCGAACCCACCACCTGATGTAGCTCAGGTAGTGGGTTCGACCCTGAACTTTAGATTTGTTTGGTGGTTATTTCGTGGATTTAATTCGTGTAATGGTTATTTAATGTAAGATCGAACCCACGACTTGTTTATACCAATTCGTAGGTTCGAACCTTCACTTTGAACCAAATCGATAAGTAATTTTAACCATAAAATTAAGACAGAAACCCTTCTCAAAGTGTTTTTTATCCGAGAAATTTCAGCCATAGCTCCATTACTGGTTTATAAATCGAGAAGAATTCATTCTAAAAAATGTTCAGATGAAATTTTCTAGAAAAAATCCACGCGATCGACTAGAAAATTTCCTTTTGTAATCCAAAAAAATACAAGAAAAACGTGGAAATTGATTTTTTTGGATTTTTTTAGAGTTTAACAAGTAATTACAGGAGCGATAACACGTGAGATAATCCTGTCTTTCATTGTACAGAGAAGTGTAATTGTGTCCAGTAGTGTTTTTTGGTACAAAACTTTCCCACAGTCCGTTCCTCAAGGTCGTGTATTTTGCCGTGTTGTCCAGCAAGGAGGACGAGGACAGCAACACAGTCGATCACCACACCCTTTACGTGAGGTCAGGAGTGACTTACGCGCCGATTTCTCCTCCCTTATATAAAATTTAACAGAAAAAAACGTATTTAAAATGTCTATACCTTAGTACAGACAGACAGAACTGTTTCAATGTCATTATTAATTTCTATATAGGGCATCGTCCAACGTGAACTTGACCTATTAATTAATGTTATCGAGAGATATTTGCAATTTTTACATCGCTTTCTACCGAATTTAATGGAAAATTAATTAATAATATAGTTTAAACGGCTGTTTTAGACGATTAAAGAGGTAAAACAATTCTCTAAAAACACGTTCAATGTGTTAAAACTTCTAAATAATGATAATTTACCATTATTTAAGGTTAATTTTTCCAATCTTCTATCTTCTCGAGTGACTTTTTGAGTGTTTTAACACCTTAATTGCTTAGTTTCGCGAGAAGATTTATTAGAAATGCTCCAAAAAACATCCTTTTTTTAAATTATAATTATTTTTTATTAAAAAACACCGTTAATTAGCGATATTTTTAGAACGGAAGTCGAGGTGACACGTGGATCTAATGACAAACCAAATTAAGGAGAAGATTATTTTTTAAAAAAAACCAACATTAAATATCGATTTTTTGGAAATTTGGTGAGAAAATATGGCCAAAATTTGCCAGAATTTCTAAAAAAAAGGCATTTAAACAAAGGAACATTCCAAAAAATCGGCTTAAGTCACTGGTTTACAACAATTGGAGCTCTAAACAACCGTTATTTAACGGCATTTTTTTGAAAATAAACGGTAAAAATATTTTCACAAAAAACACAAAACTGTGTAAAATATTGTGTTTTTTTTAATATAATAATTTTTGGTAAACAAATTTTCAGCATCATTCTTAATTAATTACACAAAATCTAAACCGCTTCATCATTCGCTGTCTATTTTTAATGATTGCCGACCGATCTTTTATTATTCAGGTTAGTAAATTACAATTTATAATTTAATTATATTGTTTATAGGTAATGCCCGCTGTTAGGCATTATCTCTAAGCATAAATAAAATAAGGCAAGTTTTAGTAATATCTGAAATAGTTATATCTATGGCCCAATTCTAATTCTTACGGGGTTCGTGCCATTCCATTCTAATTCCTACGTGTTTATACGGTTCTATTGTCGTACCCATAAGGTTTATATGGTGATATTCTGACTTCTATGATCTAATTCTTATTCTAATTCTACTTTTCGTGCAGTTCGTACGAAGTACAGTACGATAGAACCTTATAAACACGCAATTTTACCCCATAAATATGGAAAAAGTTAATAACTATGCTGGTTATTATTGTGAAATTTAAGATTTTTTTACGTGTCTTCATCCTTTCGTGTTATTTTCACGAATAACATAAGATTTACATTGTGCAGATTAACCTTACGAGTAATAAAGTGGGTAACACCTTATACAGTCGACCCCCTATAACACTTGATTTTTCCTTTTTATACGAATTCCGTGTTGTACGAGTCACTTAGATTTTACAAATACGCGAGCCGTTCACAGCCCGGCACACGTATTTGTAAAAGCTAAGTGACTCGTACAATATGGAATTCGTATAAAACGGAAAAATCAACAGTGTTATAGGGGTCGACTGGGTATTCTAGTCTTCTACTCCTACTCGTGGCATCTATGTTTTATAGCGTTATCCTTAATTATTCTTAGCTATAAGTGAGGAATGCTTGTGTTCTTCTTACATTATCTACAGCTAATGGGAAATAAACTTAATACCATATGTACATAAAGGGTATTAACATTGATTACTACTTTCAACAGAACCGAAAATGTCTGTAAAGCTACCAGAATATGGAAAAATTCGTAAAGGGAAATCTCGTAAGTGTTTTATTTCGTTATTTGTGTAAAATGTTTTACGAAATACTAAAATAAAACATGATTAATTTACGTTTACTTTCTCGTAGTAAACATATGCGTTATATGCGATAATATAGCGCATACCAACAAGTACGAAAATTGGACTTGCACGTCGTGTGCCGAATTTTTCGTTTCGTGTGTCAAAATGAAAGTCACCCCCGCGTGCCAGAAATACGGGAAGTGTGAATGTTCCTTCACCGTCACGGAAAAGTGCGATTTCTGTTATTTAAATAAGTGCTATTGCTTCGGATTAAAGTCTTATCTCGTTGAAGGTAAATCGTTCTATTGATAAAGTATTACCTGTAGGGTCTAAATAAATGGGAGTTTAACCATACATACACTAAGAATGTAGAACTATATAAGTACAGTACTAATGTAGGCAAATATATACCTTGTATCAGTAAGTGCATGCAATGTTCATCATCATTTTATGTGAATTGTAATTATTTTAATACATTTCTTTCAGGATTCGATATGAATTCCATAGAAAATGTAATCGGAACTCAGGTAAATATACAAAAGTTTTCACGAATTTCAATGAAAATTTCAGGTAAATCTTGAAAGTAATATCTAACGAGGACCGTAGAACACGTTATTAATATAAATACATGGCTCTTGCATGCTGCTAAAAAATGATAGGGCCCTGTATGTCCCGATAAACACCCATTCCTCGTAGCATGGATGTCTGCAGGAAGGCATATCGTGGCGACAAATAATTACATTAATTAATTTTTTGGGTTTTTTTCACTAGTAGATTATGGTATACAATACCATGGAACAGACAAAGCCTCCCATTGTCGAGGGTATAAGTTTACGTGTCTCAACAAATTTTACGATTATAATTTGTGGAATTTTTTACTCGTTTCCTAGGGGGTAAGTTCCTCGTTTGCTCCCTCTACGGACGTCCATTCCTCGTACCCATATAAAAGGCTTATGAGGTTTTACTTCGATTTAACGCCACGCTCAGTCTAGTGTCAATTTCGGGCCCGAACAAAATGTCTTGGATTTTTGGATGACACAGCTCTTGAATTCTAATGGGCAGGTAAGAGGATGTTAAACAAAAACATGGGTAAATGTCCATTTAAAAGTATGCAAGAGGCGGAACATTTATATCTTTGATTCCCTATTTCTGGCGCATTTATTGTTGAACATAGATTGGATTTTGATTAAACTGGCTTTTTTTTAATTCAAAAAACACTTTCAGTACGAAAGAGAAGACAAAGAATTTCTACATTACAATAGCTTCATCAAGAGCATCTACATCCTCGAACAGCAGTTCTACCAATGGATGGCTCATCTTCAGAAGTACTGTTCGAGATCCATGACAATGATTACCAGGAACCATCTCGAACAAAAGCATCTGAAAAGGGGGATCATAGCAGGTTTTATCGAAAGGTGTGTTAACGTACACAATGTTATAAGACTTCACGATTGTTTCATCGATTGGAAAAGTTCAGATTGCCTCTTCATGAGGCACTTTTTCCTCAATGTTTTACGTTTTACCAATTCCATTCGGCGGTTTTATGCCAGTCATCAAAATTTCTATTCTTTGTTGCTCAAATTGATCTTTAAAGAAGGTAAATCCGGATTTTTTTTGTCTATTTTTTGGAAATTTTTAATGGAATTAATCGGACTTTCCCAACAGATATAAGGTTCTATCAGTGTGAACCAGGAACAGAAAATTTTTCGATCCTCTTCACCGAATTGGAATGTTGGTTTTCCAGTTGTGCAGAGAAGAATAAAATAGTTTTTAATGAGAAAATCGTTGATACCTACGACTTCGAGTAAGTAATTTCACATTCTTTTCTATACTTTAGGGAATTTCGTCAATAATATTTTGAATTGTTTCCTGTTTTCTAGCATAAACATATACAAATTTAAGAAAGCGCTACAGTGTTCTGCATTTCCTAAGTTTGAGATAGTGGTGCAGTAATCCGTAATCCTTATAAACCGAGGTAAATGTTCGTGCAAATATCTAAACTTTGCTTTAACGAATAAGGATTTCTCTGAATGGATTCTATTAGATCTAGACTCTAATTTTTCTGACCATCCATCAAAGAAAAATTAAACATAATCTATACCCATAGTCTGTTTTATTTTTCTTCCTTACTTCTCCTATCTTATAGGCCTCAGGGTCTAGTTTGGTCGTACCCATTGTGAACTTGGTTACGGCTATAATAGAGATGCGAGACATGCCCCATGTATCTAGGTCACACCACTCAAAAAATTCCCCGGTATCCAACCTGGACTAAAATTGCTGTTCCCATAATAAAACCTTTACTGCCTCGGCCATCCAGCATCACAATCTGGCACCACAAATCATAATATTTTTTTTTTTAATTGCAAATCTAATTCCAATTTTATGTTCATGTTCTTTCAACGTGCTACATTGAAACTCTAAATGCAATGCCTTTGTGTGAAGCCGAGGATTAACTAAGCACAGAGCATCTCCAGAGCTCCGTGCAAATGCATTTCATATACCTGTGATGCCACTTCATGGATCAATTGCAAATTTGGAGCAATGAAAACATATCTATTCATTTTCAATGCCATTTACACTACAAATCAAATATTTAACTACTTTTATCTGCACAGAAACTTGAATTTGTGACTTTCTTGTCTTTGTTCATCCAATCACAAGTTTCTCTTCACATAGAGTGGAAACTAAATGCTTTCTACAACATTAAACCAGACCCATAATGGGAGCAACCTGGTGCCAAGAAGCAGAATCCCGTCGAGAAACAGCACAACTTTGTCGGAGTGTGGAAAGACCACACTCCAATGAAGTCGTGCAGTTTCTCGCCTGGGTCTCCGAGAGCAGTCGGCCGTGGTCTTAACCGCCTCGGCAATCTAGCGGTCGTCAAAAGTTAATTTTAATTGAGACAATCTTACAAATAACAGAGAAATTTTGTTTGTGGCATTATATTATTGTGGACTTTTCCCCTATTCCTTCCAAATAATCAAGAGATTACATCTCTAAACAAAATCTTTCTTTTCTCATATATTGGATCATTTCAAAAATTGTTTTTTCAGAGGATACCCAATATAAGTTATTTCTTCATTTATGATTATAATGCTCTATCTTATATATATATATATATATATATTTTTAAATTTCTTACAGAGTAATGCCATAATTGAAAATATAAATGAAGATAGAGTGAATGTATAATGAGCAAACTTATCTATTGTTAAAAAGCATTCATTCAACGAATGATCACACATACGGTATATTGTGTGTACTGTTTAGAATGTAATAAAATGTTTCTACTGTTACCGAGTCTTGTTTAAAAAATACTGTTTATTTGTGGTATTGATAGAAATTCGGAAGTACTGAAATGCTTTATGTAATTTGTTTATTTTAATGTGCTAATTTTAATGTTAAGTGCTCAAAACTCACATGTACACCTAAAACATTGCTCTGAAGTGGATACATTTAGGCTTGGTACAAACTATTTAAATGAATTGCTTTGATACATAGACAAAAACCAGTTTTATTGGCCACAAGCCTGCTTTTAACTAGTGCGGACAATCACCATGGCCTGATAATCGATTGCACACGAGCATCACCATTCACCGAATGAAAATATCCAACAGAATGTGCCACCTACATTTTATTGTAAACTTTGGTCTCGGGTCCACTACTAATCGATTGATATCAGAGACTAGGTTGCTCTGACGTCGACTAATTTGCACTAGGCCTTATATCCACAACAGAATATGTTACATAACATTCTATACTAAATAACTACACCCCAGTGTCAGTCTACAAACTGAGAAAATTCTGCATACCTTCTTCTAAAGAATCACGTGTCAGAAAAACCGTCAGAAGATCCACTCTTGTTTATAGTTGCAAATGTATAATTATGAAACTAAACAGCAGTTTGTATGGAAATTTTTAAATGCAAAACTGTCTAAAACTGCTCATTGAGCACTTAACAATTCCAAAAAGGAAGAGTCTCAACTTATTCCAAGAAATATTTTTTAAAAATAGAAATTTATTATAATTAAATTAATTAATCAACATCAAATTTTTGTAACCATAAGTGAATATCATTTGAAAAGTCACTTAATGTTTCACAAATAGAATTACAAGAGCAGTTTGAGATAAATTCTTTACAGACGTCAATTATCTTCTTGGCTGATAATATGGGATCTGGAAACGAATAACCCTAAAAACAAACAGAAAAATCAAAATTAAATTTGGTTTTTATCAATACTCTTTGGTAAAGTATCATCAGTCTATCAATAATGAGTGAAGGAATAAGGAATGATATCCTACACCAAATCCTATTCGGCTTTGGAAATCGTTCCATATTCCTCACTTATTGAACCAGATCCTCATTTGTAGAACTAGAATAGGGGATCAAAGAATGTACTAAGCCAAACAGAATTCGGTTCTACTCATTCCTTGTTCCTTGCATCAATCTCCATGCACTATCCATGGTGGGCAACTGCAGCTTCTGAGCAAAATGTGGCTCTTTTAAATCCTTATTGCAGCTGTAGTACATTGGACTCCTACCACTTATTATAAATACACAGTGTATAAGTTATATAAAATACATTCCAATATAAAATGAGGCTCTAAAATACTTCTGATATGGCTGCTATCGTGACAAGATTTGGCCACCCCTGCCCTATATCTTACATTGCTCTCACTGTCTTACTCACATTAATCAATCTCGCGAATTGCATCTCTCATACTTGATAAATTTGTATAATTACTTGGTGCCACGTAAAAAACAATTCTTCATTTTTCATTGATGATAAAACAATTTACTAAACAGATAAAATTTAGAAAAAGCACTCAATACTTACATATGTTAACTTCTCTAATGCTTGAAATTCTTGTAAAATTTCCTCCTGTTCTTTCTTCAATTTGCAGTGTTCCTCATCAAAGCAATTACTTTGTGCGGTTCCATTCCTCAACTGTAGTTCACTTGTCTTTCCGGACAATTCATTTTCGTGCAACTTATAAAGTTTATCGGAATTCGACATGGCAATCTTTTGATTCAGGATGGTTAATTTCTTACTAATTACTTTATGTTGAGTGTGAAGTTCAATCAGTAATGATGACTTAATTTTCTGTAAAAGGTCCATAAATAATTTGGCCTTTCTTAGACATCCCTTGTGAATTTCGTTTCCGACATTATGTGTGTCACATTCGAAAATTTGAAAATTTTTGACAGTCTTTTCTAGCAAACACAGAAGGTTAAACATGAAATATCCCGATATAAATGACTCCGTTCTTTTATAGGAATGCTCCTCCAATGCATCACTACTAATTGCATTATCTTCAATATCAAGAAGTCTGTCATTTGTTTTAATTTCAATTAAATCTTCCAGATTATTTTCTAGCGCACTTATCATCAACATATTTTCTTTGTAAGGGGACGTAATGCGAATGCCATTGTTTGCAGACCATTTAATCTCTGTAATAAAGAATTAAATTAGAATTGATTTTTTATATATAATGAATAAATAAGTTTTTGTAGAAGATAAATAAAAAGAAAGAATTACAGGAAAAAAAGTGGAGACGGAAAGAAATGAATAAAATTGTGTTTACTGCCAACAGGCTTAAGGGCTCGTAGTGCAGAAGAATAACAGAAAGAATAAGAAGAAATAAGAGAAACATTTTATATGCATATGTTTATCAATAAATGTTCTATTTGATGAGTCACTAATCATCAAATTAAGCAATTAAAATGGTAATAATTTATTCAGACAATTCAGCATAAACTCTGCCACAAAATCTGGTAGCAGAAACTGTTTCAGATTTAACATTTGGTGAATCAGTAAAGAGCAAATGGCAGTGGTGCTGGAGCTGTGGGAGCATAGGGAGCAGTTATCTCCATGCTAAATATCACAGAACAAAGTATATATTTTGCCCCTCATCGTTACTAATTTGCCAAATCCCACACCGAATCTCACTTTGGCTACAAATATTTGAATTATCAGCATTTAGCAGCGTACGCATTAGCCATAAAAATACGTACCACAACTTAATAAATATAACTGTAAAATCTAATGACCCAAGATACGTTTGAATTCAGGTAAGAATTTCAATGAATATCTAGTTTAATCAGACATTCGAAATAAAGAAAAAGGAACCAAAGAGAGATTAACAACAGGCAGGATGAAAAAACTGAAGCTTACGACTGCCTAGATAATTGAATAATGCATAAATTTACGTAATGAATAGCTTTTGACCTTAAAAACACATTTATGCTAATTTATGTATCATAAAATGAGCAAAATCTTTTGCACAAGACTCACCTTCAGGAAATAAGAGGAGACAGATGGAGTTTAAAGAGAAGTGACCGTTGCCAAGAGAGAAAATCTTGTTCAGTCGTCTCAGCAAGGTAACTTTAATACTTCCGTTCGTTATATCTTTATTCCAACAGATTAATAATAATGAACATAGTTCGACAGCTAGCATGATGTAGTACTGAAAAGGGCATTAATTTTATATACAATTCTCAGTCTGAAAAAAGCATAGATTATACCATTTGAACATGATTAACATGTTCAAATAATGTAATTCAATTTCAATAAAATTATGATCATTAGAATCAATCCTCAGATGCTAAATTTAATAAAAATAAAGTTTATATTCAGCCAACGAGTATTTAATTTCATAAATTATTATCTCAAAGTAAAAATCATCATTGTCGATACCTCTTTAACGGAGGAAGTGTATTGAGAAACCAGAGCCGATTCGATAAACTGATAATAACCGGCCACTTTTTCTTCGTCCTCGTCGACTTTTAATAGATTTTCTGCAATCCACCCGTTCTTAATTCTGTGCAGAAATGGATAATCGTCAAATACCGCTCCTTTCCATATTGTCGTTTCTTCTGTCTCATTCATAAACTCTAACGGACAAATCCAACCTATAATATAGAATTAAATACTTCATTTGAGCAATTATTAATATTAAATCATGAAAAAAAATAATTTGATTAATCTAATTCTTTACCTAGGTTATCCATGGAATGTTGCAAAACTTCGAAGTATTCGCAAATAAATTTATGAGTTGCGACAACTAGTCGTAAGGGCTAAACAAAGATAAACTACGTTTAAAATTATAGTAATTGTAGTAATTAATAAGAAATTTGAATAATAAATCTACTCGATAGCATATAAAATAATTATTTCAAATGCTATACATATACTAAACACTAAACATAAGTTATTGAGATTTTTGCTAAGTTTAATCTCTTTGCATTGTTTACAAGATTATCATCATAATTTAGTATATTAACCGATTATTTCATTGAATTTGAAAAAATAAATTCCTTTCATAAATGTCTCTATCAAAATTTCCAATATATAGCCTTTGATGCAAGTATTATTTTATAAATTTGATTATCTTAACTTTCCATTCTGTGGCAGTGAGGTCTTTTTCATATCTATTAAAACTTTTGCTGGGCCCACATTAGAATAATAGGAAGGCCAGAAATAAGACCAGGGGCCATATTCTGGTCACTGTCTCTGGTCTCTCGTTTCTTGCAAGCCGGTCACTGATTGGCTAATCATTTGGATTAGTCAATCAGTGACCGGCTTGCAAGAAACGAGAGACCAGAGACAGTGACCAGAATATGGCCCCAGATGTATTCAGATCAAAACACCCGTAAAAATTCTTCGAGACCCAATCTGGACTCAAAATTACGTCCTTTGAACAATAAAGCCAATTACCTTTGCCGTTTCCGTTATGTGGCCACCTTTAATCATCTTTTCCATATCTTACTGTTTCTAGATCGGTGGTTAAGCAGTCTGCAGACCGCTTAAACTGAGTTGAAGATAAAGTGCAGATTGCCTAGGTCTTCATCCACTTCATTCACTAAATATTATCTTAGGCATGACCTTAGGCATGCCAAAATATTTTGTCTATTCAATAATCTAGTGCACATAAATACATTCTTTCCTCTAGCTAAATGGCATGGAAGTGTATTTTCAAAAAATGACTAGGTCAATCCATGCACTAACTGATACATGCCCGTTGTTCACCAGAAAAAAAGAACTTTTCAGTCCAAAGATTGTTAAATTATCAAAAATTCTTCAAATTTTTGACCAAAGAGAAGTTCAAAATCCAAATCCATATCTTAACAAGCTATGCTAACAAACTGACTATTTAAGACATTTAACTCATTCTTTATGTAAACTGCTACATCATTGAAATAATGAATATCTCATTGAATATAAGCTGAAATCATAAATTAGTTAGAAATGTTTAAATAACTTTATAACTGTAAGAAATTCTATCTGTTAATAAAGTTTTTACTTACATTTTATGCTAAAATTTGAAAAATAACACATTAAATAGACTGTCTTTCAGCATTAATAGCTTATTTTAAACATAAAATATACATGCAAGTACTTTTGACAATGTATTATCTTCTTTGCTGAAAAAGAAATTCTTTAATACAGAAAATTTCTTGCCCGATGAAGATGACAATTTGTCATCAAAGTACTTGCTTGTATATCGTATGTTTAAAATAAGCTATTAATGCTAAAAGATAGACTATTTTATGTGTTATTTTCAAAATTCTGTTTATTTTAATGGTGAAAAATTAAATATCTAGATGCAATCTAATTCATTAAATTAGATAAACAACAAGAATTTGCTAACTAAAGCTCAAATATCAAAAGTATTTTTAAAATATCTTAAAAACTCACTTGTATTTCTATATGTTGAGATATAATAGAATATGCCATATCCCACTCCTGTCTCTTTAATGCCATCTTGATAGATGAAATCATATAACTTTGAGCTTCGTTTTTGTTTCCGCTTTTCTTACTGACATACGCTGCCGTCTGCATCGCCATCGGATCCGTAATGTTGGCTAACTGTCTTGCCGCTTGAGAGTATTCTCGAAGAGCCAAGTAACTAAAGCAAAAGAATTTTTGTGACAAACCCAATATATTATGTTTTTTATTTACAAACTAATTTACCATTTGGCAGCAAGATGATGGTTGTTATCTCTATTGGCTTTAAAAGCCCACTCCTTCAGTATGGTGGGTATAACTGGGTCCGTCGAAGGGACTCTAACCTTTGCGAGAGCAAGCGCTTCTCTGAAAAACATATTTTTAAGTCGATATTAAATTAGCAAAAGCATACGTAGGCTTAATTACCTGTAGTAGCCGTGGTCTCGAAGAGTGTCGATGGCTTTATAAATTTTGTGACAGGCGAGTAGATATAACACCGATTTCTGAATTGCTCCATTCGCAACGAGTTGTTCGGCATATCTGCTTGCCATTTCTAGCCAGAGTTCACGAGAACCTGTTTGTAAAACAAAATAAAGTCAGATTTAAATATTAAAACTGAAAATTTAGGTTGTTTATTTAAGACAAAGTAATGAAAGTTTTTATCTCAGATCTTTCGTTAATTATATCTGACTGTGGAATTAAAAGCTTACATGCTTTCAGAACTCATATTTTGACATCAGAAGCCATACAAAATGTGTAAAGTTCTAAAAGTATTTCAGGTCAAGATGTAGAGACCACAAATTTGGCACAAACAATAAGCTTTAACGATAGGTTCAATCAATCACCACTGTTGATTGCCAAATACAGCATGGACAATTGGTGAAACCCATGAATCGCTCTTATATTCCAGCCTTTCTCATCTGCTCAGGAGGGGCTAAAACTTCTATCTTTCTGCTTTTCTTTCTGTTTCCTCTTCTGTAGCTGAAACCTCTGAGTTAACTCTTATTCTTTGTTAAATTGGAAAATCTCTTATTGATTTTGACTGTCTTAATTTACTTGCTAGGAACAGACACGACACTACTGAAGAATTTCAAATGCTATACCTCAAGTCCATAGTAAGTAAATGTTCAAGATTTAACATGACACATAACAGGATGATAAGAAGCAAAACCAGCTCATGACATCAATAAATCTACTCCTCACAAATAAACTTTTATATACCGATTGTTATAAATTAGCTATTAATGTCAATTTGAGAATATATACAATTCTTATATATTTAATTTACATAAGTAATACTCACCCAATGGAGCTAGAGAAACCAGATAATCGTTTAACATATTTTTATCCGCAGCTTCTCTAAGAGCATCGCCTACATTTCCTTTCCATATTTCTAATTGCAGAGCATAATCTAGATTGTTGGATTGTTTATGTTGACTTACTGGAAAAGGGTAGAAATATAAAAAAATATCAATAGTGGAAATGTATCAATTGATACATTCAACACAAGTCACGTGTCGAATATCTAATATCCAAGAAAGGTTTAATAGAAAAGCAGAAAAGTGTCATTAAAACTCGGGAAGTGATATCACAGTAATTTCAATATACAAAATTTCCAAGTCAAAGTTAATAATAAGCATAACTAGCAGCACTCTTTGTGCACAAGAACAAGACAACAGACTGAAAATATAAGTACTCTCAAGCAGCACACAAATAAAAATAGTCTAGTGTTGTTCGATCTTTCAAAAGCGGGAATGTAAAACGGGTCGACACCTCAGAATATGTAGGCATAGTACAGAGACAATTGCATAAGTCACACCCAGATGTACAACAAGAATTCCAGGTTAAAAAAAAACAGCAATAAGTTGCTTAACTTTCCTGGCAACACTTAAAACTGTGTGTTGGCACCATCCATCACGATATTTAATTTAACAATACTTTTATATTTTTCATTGTTATAAAGTGACAAAAAGCTTAAATTTTAAGGCTAGAGACAGCTTTTATAAAAAATTGTAAATGCTAAAACGAGGAAAATCATTACGTCCAACCCTACCAGAGATAGACACATAACCCTCTTTATCTCCCCATCTTCTCAACCTTTAACCACCAAAATTTAATAGCACCAATCCCCCTAATACACAAAACACCCTCCAAAATTTCAGAAATTTTCAACAAAAAGCCCAGGAGTTATTAAGCTTCAAACAGGGTGCACTACACACACAATAATATCCATATATACGAAAAAAGTCCCAAATTTTTTTGCATTTCTCGACGTTTCAAGGTCTCCAAGTCCAGAAATGTAAAAATCTTCAGGTTGTTTTTTGACCGATCGCTATACTTTCTCTCCATTATATACAACAGAGCTGGGAAAGTAAAAATGACCACAGTTCTGTGAAAGTTCCTCCACGGTATCCACTATGCTGCTCTTTTGTGCTTTACCAATTGCTTATTTTCTAAATTCATTGTCTTACATTCTGTCGATGCACAAGAACGTAAAGCATTGAACCAAGTTTATAGAAGCAAATTTAACAGAGAAAATAACAGTTAATAGCAACTGCCAGTCTTGCTTAATAGTAACTCTTGACTTGGAAGTTTAATATGCAAAAATTACTACGACATCATTCAGTTTCCCAAATTTTAATAACACTTTTTTGGTTTTCTACTGTATCTATTACATATATAAAAATGTAATTATATGAGATTTTGATCAGAAATTATAATTACTTTCGGAACTTAACATTCTCCAGGCCGCTGCTCTATCCGAAAACAATCCCAGATGGGTTGCTTCATCACTGCCGGCTCGCAATTCCTTATTTTCGGCTTTCTCCTCGGTCAGGAGATCCATCAGAAATATACAGTCTTCGTTACCGAACTTTTTTCCCCTGTTTTCTAAGGTTGACGAATACGGAAACAACGACTTTTGGGTTTTCTTTCCCTTGCCTTTTTAAAATTTGATACACGTTTATTAATACTTAATGTAAATAAATGTAATAAGTAATACAGGTTTATCTTTTCAAAGAATTTTGCATAAAAATATTATCATCACCAGATTTTTTCTTGGATGAATAACTCTTTTTGACGAGCGACAAACTAGACGTCACAGAGCAACTCTCCTGCAAGGATGCATCATCTTCCGAATCTGTACCTTCATTCTCGTTGCAAGAATCCTCTGCTAATAGAAATTTGGAAATAAGAAAATCAACAAAATGCCACTTTATTAGAGTCAACGGAGAAATGAGCATCGGTTCTCTGGTACTTTTGGATTTCCTAAGTTCATTGTCAAACAATAAATTCGAAAAATCTGGAAAAGTTTTGTCTCTTGTAAATTTTTATCTCCAAAAAATGGGCTTAGGAGATCCAAAAATACTAGAAAACTGATGCTTATTTCTTCTTTGTGGGAATATTTTATCTTTCACATTTTTAAGTTATTCGGAATATATTTTACAATGTTTCTTGGATAAATTACATCCCTGAAGACAACCAGCAATGCTTAAAGAGTTAATTCCGATAAAGGGTAATTTCTTATCATTTTACAATGTATTTGACTCGTCATTTGTTAAAATTAGCAAATTAAAAATATTTTTATGGTTATTAATGTTACACCTAAAAAATTTCAACAAGAACTGTAACTTTAATACAGGGTGATTCATTCGTGACTGAACACTTATTATGCAGAATATCCCCACATAAAATTCAAAGAAGAATAAGAAACACAAACAGAATGATTCTTTACTTTGTGACAATGCAGTCAACTGAAGTGTATTTTACATTACGTGTTATTCAAATGTGCCTATGCAATCGTGAGGTATTGAACAATGTGAGTGTTTGGTCCCGAGTGAATTGCCCCATATATTGCCATCCTTACCTGTTTGTATAGCATTGGAATTTTCTGTAGGAGCATTTCCATCCACTTTTGTTATCTGTAAATGCAAACAGACGTAAGTAAATCTATAGCAGTACTTAATTACCCGAATACAAAAACCTCGTAACTCGTGTGCACCCATTCTGAGTGGACCAGGTCAATATTCTAGATTATTGCCACATTAAGTGTATTGACTCAATCGAAATAAGCCAATATACTCAATCATTGATTCATTTCGATGCAATTTAAGTTGCGTTCTTCATTCATTAGGATGATGTGCCTAATTATTCACAGAAATACTCAATTAAATTAAATATATCATTTAAGCTATTTAATAGTTATGAAAAATATCTCTTTGCAAGCACTGATTGAACCATATGCGGATGGCGCCATATAGGAGAGTGCTACATTGAGGTTTGACTGTATAAAATTTGATTGGTTTAGATTACTAGACAATCAAAACCTGTAATAACGAAGATAATTTTCAATACTTTTATATAAATTTTTTACCAGTCATTTATTATTTTGAAACGCTCTTCTCCTCATTGGTGGTTGGTTAAAAGAAATGTTATTCTTAACTTTCTTAAGCAGAAAAGAACACTAATTTAATAAACTATGCAGAAAATTGGAAATTACTACAGTACTGAGCCAAATATCAGGATTCCAGAAATTCAAAATCATCAGAAAACTGGCTATTTTTTTGAATTTGGAGGGCTGCAGTATGACTGAGTTCAATGCACGGCTACTTTGCTTTGGTTTCCATGACATATGAAATGCACAATGCCAGTTCATGCCTATGATGTGCTAGATACAATTTATTCTTCACTTTCTGTTGTTTATTTTATATTTTGAATATATTTTTAGCCTGTGTCCAGAAAACCCGACCACTTCTAGTCCCAATCTTGCCAGATATTTGATCCAGTACTGCATTAGTATAACTCTGTTACATATCTGTTATTTAAATGGGACTGAATAAGAAGGAACAGATTTGAGTTATTTTGATGATGAAAACAGACAGTCAGTAAGACATTTCTAAAGTTTAACAGGCTGCATCCAGACTTCCCACCAATCATGTATAGTTACCTGGATGCAACCTGCTAAAAACAGACAACTTTATGCTGACTATGAATCCTCGCCACCAAAATAGTCTGAATTCATTCCTCCGTATGTAACACCATGCTTTACCTGTAAAAGAATATACAAAACTCAACATGACTCCCATAGTTCCCGATTTATGGGACATCTCGTACACAGACAGATCTAGTCGAGCAAGAAAATTAACATGGAAGAATTAGGGAAGCAAAATTCTTAACCATTACTCAAGCAAATTACTAGACAGAAATGTCTAAAACAATCCAAAATACATACATTATCTGTAGTCGATTCTTTCTCCTTTTCAGCTCTTAATATGGCAAGTTTCCTTTCTATCAACTCTTGAACTATTTTACTATCCTCTTCACTTAATTTAGGTAACACTTGTTCTTTCTTCAACTTCTTACTTTGTTTGATGGATTCTGCAAAATTTTCTTTTATACAATTGCAAATTTGCTCCAAAAATAATTAAAACTTTGTAAAGCAAAACTCACGTTTAGAAGGAGGCAAATTATGTTCCTGTTTAGATGAATCCCAACAGTGCATGCTATAATCCTCTCCGCCGCTGAAACAGTCATTCGGAGAAAGAAAACTCCAGGCGACACTGTACACTCTTCCTCTATGTCCTCTATAATTGGCTAGAGGTTTACCTTTCAAAGTGTCCCACACCTAAAATTTTATTACTCAAATTTGAATGCTTTTATCTAATTTACAAATGAATCAAATTAAAAATTCCTCTTATACCTGTACTGTGTTATCATATGACGCAGAGACTAATCTTCCGGGAAAATGAGAACTCCAGGATACAGAAACGACTCGAGCCTGATGACCGGTCAGTTGATAAACAGAATCGGTTATGGTTACGAATTCTTTGTCATCGTCTTCGGGTCTGTCTATAAAGTAATATGTAATATGCATATACACACACACGTTAATAAAATGGCATAAATGAGAGATTTGCTTACTTAAAACTGGAAGCAATTCGTATACATGAATAATAGAGTCATTTGAAGCGCTGGCTAACCAAGAACAACAAGAAGAATCTGGAATTACGGTAAACTGAGGATGCCAACTCAGGCAGTTGATTAATTTCTTCTGTGCGACAATCCGGGCCAACAGTCGAAGATTTTGCCCCGAGAATATTTCGACAGTACTGTAATATATATAGTTAACACTTTTTAATTTTTGCTATTTGATTAAAGTGCTATCAATCAGTATTTCTTGCTTAAACAAATTGCAACTTTAAGTGCAAGGTAAATACATTGTTAGATAACATTGGAATCTTTAAGCGACTTACCCATCTGTATTTCCAACAGCAATAACAGAAAAATCTGACCTCCATGCAAAATCAGTTCGCAACAAAGCAGCGTAAGACCGATTCGTCAAAGCTGTAAACTCGTCAAAATTAGCCGCGTGAGAATTTATGTCCGACGGATCGTGTATATAAATGATGCGATCGCCACAGGAATACAAGTATAGTTTTTTTTTTGAGTCACTTTCGTAATTTTGCTCTGAAAACATATTTTAATCACTGAATTATTAATTATTACATAATTTATGAATAAAAATACTGTACAGATATAACCTACAGAATAATTCTGTAATTCCCTAGTTAATGTTTTCCCTGTAGAACATCTCTTCATTTTTAATACACATACTTCTCAAACATTCCTGTGTAAACATTGATTAAAAAATATTTTTTACACGATGTTTGTGTAGGAAAAGTATACTTATATCTCAATAACTCTGCAGCGTAAAGGAACATTCGTGAGTAACATCTCAAATACAATTGGTAGAACGTCAGAATCGTGCGCAATGTTTAGAAAAGCATGCCAAACATCACAAAATGTTTATATCATACAGGTTTATTGCAATGTTTCTTTTGACCAAAGTACAGAAATCTTGTTTGTCCTACTTGTTTGTGGAACTTATGTGATGGCAGAATCTTTCACGTGAATATCTAGTTTAAAGCATCTTAGATCCATTTCTATTTGAGTTGGGTATATTGACCTGGATAAAATAACAGGGTGAAAAGCATCACGGGAGTGACGGAACCTCTTTCACATCTGGCTAGCTGTGCACGTGTATGGTTCCGGTATGTTTGCCTCCTGCTCATTTAACATGTCAAAATTATCTTAACCCTTAACTGGTTTTATGGGAGCCGCGCGGCCCCCACGCATCATATTTTTATAATTTTCTAAAAATCTAAATATTGTGCGCAGCTGCCATTTTACATAATCTCATTACGTCGTGACTCTTAGCGAGTGCCAAATGTTCGGCCCTGCAGCACTTACAAGGATGGAGCTACATACCTTCTGGGGGCCGCGCAGCCCCCACAATACCAGTTACGTTGGTTCTTTGTGGAAATGTGTTTTTATATTTTTTTTATTTTTATAATTATTTTGCAGAGATATCTCAATCTTTCATCAAAAATTCAAAATGACTACCAAAGAATCATTTGAACTGCTAATAGAAGATAATATTATACAAATTGCTAGATCAAGCCGAAATCTCCTGAAAAGAGTATGTTGTCATTTTGTGCTGGAAAAAAAGATGGTAAATATGCTACTAAGTGCAACAGTTGTTTGAAATTTATTTGCAAAGTGCATAGTACTACAAAAATACTATGTGATAACTCTCAAGACTGAACTACGTAATTGCGTTAAAATGTTCCTGAGTCTTAAAAATAGAAGTGATTATATTACCTGTGGTTTTTTAACAAATGATAGTTAGAGGCTATAAGAGATACTTTTTTATAAGATTAGTTTCTTAAGAATAAGAAAAAAAAATATCTTTGGTAAAAACTTACAATAGGGTAGATTTTTGTATTGTTAAAAAAAGCATACACCAAAAGTTGTAACAATTTTGTGATCTCTTGTAATAATTAAGTAAAGAAAATTATATAAATAAATAAAAGTTGATTATACTAAAGAAGGGTTCCATTTAGCATTTATGCACTTTTAAACTGTCACATTGTTAAACTTGCTCTCTAAAGGCAAATTTTGCTTGGGGGCTGCGCAGCCCCCATGATACCAGTTATGATTGTAAAATTTACGAAACCAGTTAAGGGTTAACATTTTAAAAACAGTTATAAATACAAATAAATAATTATGAGTAATTATTATTGTACTTTGAAAGATGAGGCTAAAACCAGGTACTTAAGCAATTTGACCCAGAGTGGCCCGATCCCTTAGAAGTTGAACTAGAGAATCTCTTTAGCAATGATAACATAGAATGACCCAAAATTACTTCGCTCGACTTGCATGACTACTTTGTGCACAGAACCTGCTATTATACAAAGAAATCATTTAAAAATTACAAATTTTTAGACTGTTATACTCATTTAGTAAGTGGAAAAGTGCATAAAAAATAGTGTTATTCATTAAAACATGTGGCTTGCATATCAAAAGGAAAATTACGGTCTTGACAGAATGTAAAAATGTTTTGTCACCACTTAGATGTGAACGAGTAAAGTTTCCAGTGAGAGATGTTAGAAACAGAGCGAATGTAATAATATATATGTGCAAATATAGCGAGACTTATACATAATTAATGCCTATGTGATAATTTGTTCTTCTCTTGTTTAACCAAAGATCGGTATGAAATCTAACGCTTGAATTCAATTGATAACATTGTCTTTCAGTAATGCAAAATTTTCCCTTTTGTTCAAGGATGTACTGCAGAAAAAAAATGGATCAACAATAAAGTTTATCATTTCTATTTCAGTGATTTTTTTAAATTGCCGACTGAATTAATTAAATTCTCTGTAAGGAAACTTGGAAACTGGAATATAAGGAAACTGGAGAAAGAATACAAAGACCAGAAAGTAAGGAAGTTCTATAAAATAATACAAGAACAGAAGAAAGGTTTTCAGCTTAGTGCTGTGTTTTGCAGAGATAAAGATGGAAATCTTACAAGGGGAGAAGGGCAGATCCTGGATCAGTGAGCTGAATATTTTAGTGAACTGCTGAATAACTACTACTGAGACTATAATACCAGCATAAGATGAAACCAAGTATGAGTGACAGTGGATAATTGCTGGCTGTGATGTAATACCAATACCTATACCAATAGTAGAGGAAGTTAGACTGGCAATTAAGAGCCTAAAGAATAATAGGGCATCGGGAAACGATAATATTGCAGAAGAGATGATTAAGTATGCAGGTGAACTGTTGATGCTGCTTGTTCACTAGTTGATAGTGGAAGTATGAGAAAAGGAAGAGATGCTGGATCGGTGGAGGCTGGCTGTTGTGTTCCCGATTCATAAGAAGGGGAACAGAGTAATATGTGAAAACTATCGTGGTATATCTTTACTTAGTACTGTGTATAAGGTCTTAGCTAAGGTTATGGCGAGGAGGCTAATTTCACTAGTAGAAGAGAGACTGGGTGACTACCAGTGTGGATTTAGGCAAGGTAGATCAATGGCACATCACATCTACGCTATAAAGCAAATAATGGAAAAGTGTTAAGAGTTTAATGTGAATGTTTACCAGCTCTATATGGATTTTCAGCAGGCTTACAATAGTGTGAAAAGGTGGTCCTTGTACAGGACTTTGATAGATATGGAGTTTCCATCTAAATTAATCAGATTGATGCAAATGACTCTCACCAGCACAAAATGTCAAGTCAAAGTAGAGGGAAACCTCACTAAAATAGTTGAAATTAATCAAGCCAGGGTGATGAGTTATCCACATTGCTGTTTAATGTAGTTCTGAAGAGAGTGATGACGGGTGGAGGGCAATTCACCAACTGGCAATCTGTTCAACTACGTTAGCCAAAATTTAGCTTATGTCGATGATGTTGGTATGCTGTCCCATAGCCTGAGAGAGCTGGAGGAAGGATTGGGTAGATTGAAAAGTGAGGTGGAGGAATTGGGGCTTTGTGTGAACCACAGTAAAACACAGTACTTGCTTTTGTCTAGGAAAGTCGCTGCAAGGAAAGACAAATACATCAAGTTAAACAATGTCAACTATGTGAGATGTGAGAACTTCAAGTATCAATACCTGGGAGTACTGGTATCTAGTGATAACTTAAAAGAAGAGATAAAGGCAAGGATTGCAGCAGGAAATAGACCTTACTGGGTCCTGATTAGAATTCTTAAATCCCATAGCATGTATAGAAGATTGAAGGTGGCTGTTTATCAGTTATTAGACCGGTGGTGATGTATCGTTCGGAAACATGGGCAATGACTATGGCTATGGAGGAACTCTTGAGAAGATGTGAGAGGAAAATTCTAAGGAAGATATTTGAGGCAGTGTGTGAGATAGGACAATGGAGAGTGTAGAAAAACAGTGAATTGGTAGAACTGTTTGGTTATACTGATATAGTTGTGGAAATAAAAGAGTAACAAACTGAAATGGTTGGGGCATGTTGAGCAAATGTCAGATGATGTCGAGTGGCAGGAGATGTAGAGGAAGACCACAAAAGCGATGGCTGGATGATGTGGAGGATGATATGAGGAAGATGGGAGTCAGTGATTGGAGGAAATGTGCATATCGTCAAGATTGGGCTGCAACTGACAGAGAGGTCAAAACAAGGCATGGGTGTAATGCCAAGCAGTATTAGCAGTAGTAGTTGTTGTAGTTGTAGTAGTAAGGAAACTTTGATCATTGTCTTCTTGTCCATATATACTGAAGAAAACATATTTGAATTGCACACAAGCCAAAAATGCACTAAGGAGTTAATACATTGGAAAACTGTCCAAGTTTCATATTTTCCTGTTACAATTTCTCCTCGTGTTGCAGGGCACACATCCAACAAATATTCAAATTCTTTCTACACTTGCTATGGTATATCCATTGTCACTCCTCCCACACAGCCACAATTCTGCAGTCCTGCAGATTACCATTTTCATTTATGGCACTTCCCAGTAGTAGTATATGACAGGACGTTTGAATGCAGACGGGGACAATATCAGACTGTTATGATATCAATTGGCATATATTGCATATTTCTCAAATAAAAACTAAAATAATTACATAATCAATACATAATTTCAATCACACGACAGTCTGGTGTGTCTTATCGAATCCAAATTGGATTGATGTAAATTAATTCAACACATGCTAAAAACATTTATAAAGCATACATCTATGCAATTCTAAATTATAACAGACTTAATTCAAATTTTACCATAATATTTGTAAGTAATACTTACTAAAGAATTTATAATCCGGTCCCCATCCGACTCTGTATACGCTTTCTTTATGAAAAGACTTAAAAATTATCGGTGGCCTGAAAAGCATCATTTTTAAAATCCACATTCACATAATTCCATATGATGTAATTTACACTACAATTTCTTACTTGTTGCCAATGGTGTCGATGATACCGACTCTTCCTTCTTCGGTGCCGAACGCCAACATACCTTCCTTGTTCGGATGCCAGGAGAGCTAAACAAAAACACATATCAGTTAACAATATTAGTTCTGATCAGCTCCTGAAAAATAATTAATGTTTCTATATAAAATTTTAAATATTTTATAAAAAATTCTTTTATTTTATATCCCTATAAATCACCAAGTCAGAATAAGCAATAATTTGTTCTAAACCAAATATAAAATAATAAAAAATGAAACATTTTGTTACATATCATCATTAAATAAAGTATGAGAGACAATAGAGAAGTCCTGTGTTTCAATATTCATTATCTAAATATCCTAAAACTGCTGCAACTATCAATGAGTTAGGGATAATCGGGACAGTTCCAATATCAAAACGTTTGATGGAGCAGTTTTCAGAATTATGTAAGTGTTCCATAATATCGTAATAGTTAAGTGCTTCTGTAACTAAAAGATAATTTGCAGAAATGGATTCAAATTTCCAATTGACTTTTATATTTTTTGACAATCTGGATTATTAAGAGAGATCAGATGGGCCGAGAGATCAATTGGAATTTAGTTTTTGGTTTATCTGTTCACAGTAAAGTGGCACATGCGCAGATAAAATGCCTCCCGGGAGGAATTTTATGAGAAACTGGCCCCTATTTAGGTGTTACAAACACAAAAGAAACCCAGAAAACTCCATGTGGCCAGCCACAGATCAGGCGTGAACCGACGACCAACTACCGGTGTTCGGTGGTTTTATCCATTCAGCCACTGGTGGGCTGCAAGTGGAATTTGAAGTGAAAGTATTCAGACAAGGCATTTTTTCCAGTACAAGTAGTGTCCCTGCTACTTATTATTAGAAAAGGATGCTTTAAATTATATGATTCTTTGTAGTTTTGCACTAGAGAAATTAATCAAACAAGAGTGAAACTACACCGGGGTACAGTAAACAACAAACGTACCGGCGAGCCTGTTACTGGTAAGTTTCCCGAGAAGCACACCGGTAACAGGCTCACCAGTACTTGTTTGTCGAAATTAAATTCACATCAACTACGATCAAACAAATGGATACAAATTAGTGTTTCCTCTCAAAAAAACAAAAAAAAAAGAGTTCTGTTAATGAGTGTGGTACTGGGAAATTTTGATAGCCAGACACCTGGGTTAGTGACCTTGTCAGTTTGAGACGAGCCAATGGAAATCTTGCCTTCTCGAAAATGCAAGATGGCTCTCCTTTTACATGGTCCTCTCCACACATGTGCACACATCCGGAATGAATAAATGTGGGCAGATTTTTTTCCTCCATCCACTCCATCTGTCCACCTACCCAAAGATGCACTTACCTTTAATTAACATTGTGAACTAATATTTGTATGTTTCTGTCATTTGTTCTATGTTCTATATTTGTATGCTGTTTCTATAATGTAAAAACTTCATATTTCAACATATAATTTTTATATTTTAACTAATCATTTTAAATATATAACGTAGATATTTGATTTTGACAGTTTGATGCCAAAGTTGCACTGCCACTTGCACTCAATAATCTCACTGTGATATTTGATGCAGGCTGAAAAAAGCTACCCTTTTCGACTTGTAAATGGGCCATCTTCTGTTGTAAACATAAGAGAAATGCTGATGTCAGAATCTAGAGTATTAGTATCTCGTAATTTCCTATCTGGCACTGGCAATCCTTTATGTCTGTTCAAGCCTGAAAATAATTCATTATCGAATCAAAAAGCATTTCCACAACTATATCTGTTATTAAAGATACTGTCTTGCTTAATATTAAATACACACGCTGTCAGACAGCAAGTGTGTGTGTCTAGCATTATATAATACTTGCCACGGAGTTTAACATACTGTATTACTTAATGATTTTTGAGTATATGTTGTTTTAATGTTTATAAATCAAGAATTTTACTGTCTACAGTTGAATCTTGACTTAATTTTGAAGTATTCTTCTTGTCTTTTTGAACTTGATTTTTGCAATAGGCTTATAGATATTGGGATGCAAGCATATAAAGTTCGACCAAATGATCATTAGATTTAAATTGAGCTACTTTACTACTACCATTAATAATTAAATACCAAGTAATTTGGTACTAGAAGTTGACGTTAGGCACTACCTCTTATTAAATTTAATAATTATAATTAAAAATTTATATTTATTAAATAATTTGGAATATTTTGAAAGAAAAGAATTGACCCACAGCGGGACTTAAACCTGCAACTGCTGCTTTTCACACAGATGCATCACCATTTATGCTACCTGGACATCCACCCAATCCCTCATTCCCAGACACATTTAATTTAAATATAACCATCCCTGCAATCTGGCAATCATTTGAGCAATCAATCATTATATCATTTCAATCATTTCATTATAAAATATCGGGCTTTGAGATGTTTATATATGTATCAAGTTCAACTTTCTGTTGATCTGTTAGATGAATGGGACACTTACAACCAATTCATGAACCGGAATCAGCTCTATTTCTTATAATCTATATATAAAATTAAATTTGTGTCTGTTTATTCAAGTATCACAGGAGAACAACCAAACCTTTATGTAATAATACTTTAATATCCCTTGATTAACACAGTTAATTAATCCCTGGATCCTACTGCATATATCAAAATCATGTTAATCGAAATATGGTATCTACATTAAGTAAAGACGACCAGTAAAACTGCAAAAATTAAAACTTCTGCCACGTATATAAAGGGACTGCCACAATTAATTTCATGCGTTAAGCAAGGGATACATGTACATCATTTTCCCAAGTAAAGTACCTCAGTTAGTATTCTTTCTAAAGCAACAAAGAATAAGATTTACTATCTAAGCTACCGCAGATAAATAACACACACATCCACACTTTTACATAACAGTTACAACAAATATTAGCATTTTCTCATTCCACTGTACATCAGAATGTTATAATACATCAAAACTCGATAAAGTAATCTCTTTATCATTTATTATTTGCAAATTTCATCTTTTGTATATAGTTAATTAAAAACGATAAGCTTAAAAATACTGAAATTTGATTGAATGTACAAGAAAATACTAATGTTTTATGTACATATCAAGCAAAAGTGGGCATTAGTTTCTAGAACAAAGCAGAGCATGAGTCTTTTCATTTTATTTGTCTCTCTGGAGAAACAAACCTTTCTTAATTTGAGGAAAACCTGTCTGTAGTCGTATTGACTCTCTTTCATGGCACTACAACACCAATGAGAAAACTAGTCAAACTTCATTTCATGGTGCAAGAATGCACATTCAGAAAATGTGCATTCTTGCACCATTTGTGCGTAATGTCGAATGCACATTATCTGTCTTTTACAAATTCAAATTTATCTCATTTATAAAAATACATTTGTTTATTTGCACAACTTATATTTTTCAAAAACTTAATTTTAATATTTAAATTTTTTAAATTAGTTATTCAAATATATTTGAGAACGAAACTCCACATTTACATAAATGGGTTTATTTTATGAATTTCAACTTTCAAATAAGTTACTTACATTTATCACCTTTCCTTTAATTCCTTGCCAAAAAGTACTTATGCACGGCATTCCGGGCTTCGTCGTATTCAGAATGCGAATTATGCCTTCGCCAGAACCCACTGCTAACTGTCCTAATTAAAAACAAGAGATGGTTGATGCACTAAGGTATTTTTTTTAATCGTTATTCTGTATATATTTAAAACACGAATAATTCATTAATCGAATAAAAAAATGTTTTTATGCCTTAACGCACACAACCAATCTGGCTGCAGAGGACGTTAAAACATCTTCCCTAGTTTGTTGGATTTAAACCTTGCTTCGAGCATGAAGACTTTTTATGTGTACATTTTAAAGACCAAATTATTAATGAAAAAGATAAGTATTTTATATTTAATGTTTTCTTCACATATATACAGAGTGATCATAATTAAAGTGTTCAGAAAACAATTATGTATGTCTGTAAAAAGAACTATAGGAAAATTTGTTGTACTGTCCCAAGTACGCAGTTTCGATTTCTGAAAAAAATTTTTATTTAAAAATTCAGCTAATATGGCAAAATTTGGTTCTTAATGTGTGTGTTAAGTACATTTTTCCAATTCCCAGTAGTTGTGGGAACCTTTTAAATGCCAAAATTCCTTATATGTCAAGCTGGCATTACAGTTTTGTTGCTAAAAAGAGTTTCACATAAAGCTCGTGATTGGGTGAGTGCCAAATGTGTTCACCTGTCGCCCATCGAAGGATTGTGAAGAACATTTTGCAACTCCTTTTATACTCCAAATTTGGTAGAAAACATACATAATTTTCATGTGAACAAAGCAAAATAGCACCAAATTTCTTCCAAAGTGGCTGAATTTTGAAGTAAAATTCTTAAAAAAAATCAAAATCACATACTCAATACAGTATATGTACCAAGTTTGGCCGAGATTTGCTTGATAATCCTTTCTATATGGGGCTCCAAACACTTCCTCTTTAATTACGATTGCCCCACGTTAATGTTCTTTATAATGCTAAGTATTTGAGATTTGTTGCCGTAAGCATAAACATAGACAGTGGGTGTATTGCCTGGTAAAGAGACTTTAACATAGTCAAATAAGCAAGCCAATGACATAGCTAATTTCATTCCAAACAAAATATATTGCCAGTTTGTTCCTAATTAAAGCCACTTTACTTGGCTACACACCCATTAAATTGTCAAAAATCACAAAGCACATTGAAACACAAATAATGTACTTCAATAAATTACATTCTCCAGTATATTTTGATATTTTATAATTATAATCAATATTAAAGCAAAAACCACTTTAATACTATTTTATAGCAGTAAAATTATAACATCATTTTCCAAATTTAAAATTTATACATACCGACATCTTGAGGACACACTTCCAAGGCATAGCAAAATCCTCCGATGGTCGGCAGGGAACATATTGATTTCTTTTCGTTCAGGTCCCACAAAACAATCTGAAAAATATATATATTATAAATCAAAAAGCTTAGAAGAGCCAATTGATAAATGATATCTCTATCTGTATAAAATTAGTTTGGACATCTAATGAAAAATGTTAATCTTTCGGCACTTCCTTCAATCTTAGTCAACCAGAGGTCCAATATTCTACTAATAGATATTCTCTGCAAGTTGGAAAGTTCTAAACTATTCCCTCTACCCCAAAAGTAGTGCTGACCAGCAATTCTCAAAATATGGTCTGTGGATCACCAGTAGAACATGGTTATGCATCAGATGATCTGCAGACTGGCCTAGTCATTTTTTTTGAGATGCAATCTATATTGTTTAATCAGAAAGACAAAATATTTTGGCACACAACGGTGATATTTACAGGATAAGAAGTGGACAGGAACCTAGGTGATCCACTGTTCATTTGTGACTTGGTTGAAGTGGTTTGTGAAACCCTTATCTTGGAGAAATCTATAAATTACAGAGACATTATCTCAAGCTTGTAGAGTGTAGTTTAATATAAAACATTGTTGCTTGCTTGGTATGTAGTATGTAATCTTGTTTCTTGTATATGTTTATTATATTGTCATTTCTATGTAATTTTTAACCAGTGATAACAAAAATCATAAATTTAAATATAGTTTGGTACATACATAGTCAATCTGTTACATTCTGTTACAATAAGAGCATTCACTCTTGTACAAATAGCCTGAAGATGGCCATTAAAAAATGACCAAACATATTATCTTTGCTTATTAAAGAATAATCTGCTAAGTTAAAAGGACTTTTGTGACATGTGTTTCAAGTTTCTCAGTTAATTTCTGCATTAAAGATAAAAATGTAAGGAACCAAGTCCGAGCATTATTTTAGTTACTTTTTATTTTACTTTTTATTCTATTTTGTTTGTTTGGGCCTTATGTTTTGTTAGAATGAAGGTTTCCTCACCACTCACCTTAGAAACTTAAAAACAGAAGAAAGAAAAAACCAACTCACCAATGAGAAGAAGCACCATAGGAAAAAACTTGCACACAGTTGCGCTCCCGAGTGGAAAAAAGTAAGTCCTCACTGAGAAGAGGGGGAAGACCCCACAAGCACAACTAAGGAACTTGCTAAACCTTAAAGGGTAAAACATCCCGAAATATTGTCAGAAAGAATAATGTAAAAGGTTAGTGAGTTAGCGAGTATTCTTGGGAAATAGGCTGCCAGACAAAAAGGAAGAGTTCAATGTTAGAGATAAATATGTAAATGAGGGAGTGTCTCAATCAGAATTGTGACATCATTTCATAGTATAAAGCCAGTACCTCAAGCAAAGATGACCGAGGTGAGCTTCTGTTAGCAACGAGCATGGTGAGCTTCGTAGCAGCGAACGAGAGAGGTGTCCGATAGCGATAAAGTTGTTCCAAGGCGTTTTGAAGTTATTCGATTTCTGGATCGAAGATTAGAGAAAGTCTTGATAGTTGAGGAAAAAGGTTCCTAGTATATTGAGGTGACGGTTAGGATCTTAGTTCCTAAGACTTTTTGTACATATATAGGTTAAGTCTGAAAATTAAGTCAAATTCCAAAGGGGAATAGATTTAAGTTAGCAAATAGATTGATTTGAATTTTGTCAGGTTGATTATTATTGCTGATTTTCTTTGAATAAATTGTTGTTTGATTGTTACTAATTTTGTACATAGTCATTATTAGAGTTATTATTAAATATTGGATTGTTTTGTTTGACTAACTTTGTAATTATTTCTTCCGATGCACGCTTAAAGTCCAGGCCTGGCACATAATTGCAAATCCATGTAAAGTACCCATTAGGTAAACGGCTATTTCCAGCACACAATCGTGTCGATAATCGTTGTAAAAAAGCATAAAAATAAACAGTAGTACTTTACAAAAAAAAACTATCTTTTTTTTCATTGCTATAATGCTGCAGTAAGGAAACATCAAAAACCCAAAGTCACACCTTATTCTGCACAGATCTAACACCAACTTTTCAGTCATTCCCAAAACTGAAGGCGACATGAAAAGGTTGATGCTTTTCATTAGATGCTAAAGTTCAAGCTATCACATTGGAATGGAAGGAAATCCAGAAAGATTTTTCCATCAAAAAATGAAAAAAATGCCACTCTAAATTATGATTATGTTAAAGAAGAGTATGTACAATTAAATTAAACAGATTTTAGTATATTAAAACTGGTTATTCTATCTCTATCTAAAGTAACTGTAAAATGAAGACAACCTCATATATCCCATTCTTATGTTATTTGCGCAAGGTTGGCAAAGATGACAATTCCCCGATACTATGCTGCAATCCAATGGAAAACAACTTTCCAATTTGGGGTCAATATAATACCAGATCCAGACTTTTGTTATCGAAGCAAGCACCAATTATAGCAACTTAGCTGATCAAAGCTTAAATAGCAGTCAATACCAACATAAAAAAAAAAACTGTGAACAAGACTGATTAGCAAAACATTAACAATTTGTTAACAGAAAAACTGCAGGTCTTAAATGGAAATTTGCCAGATCCATTGACACACTCGATACAGTAGCGCATTACCAATTAGGTTTCCTTTAAGTCAAATTTTAACTTAATTGTTTCTTACAAATCTTAAATTTTTAGATAAAAAGCAAGGTAATACCACAACGTGTGGCTCACCTCAAATTTTCTCCACGTTTTATTGGACCAATCCATAAGAATACACTAGCATAGATGAGAGGGTAACAAATGATAACCCCAGAATGCAGCATTTAATCTCACATGCAAGATGAAAACTTTGCTACCCAGTTGTACAATCAATCGAGAGACATTTGCTTAATATTTAATATGATACAGATTTATGCTTTAGTAATAACCAAATTTCTCTTTGGCATTTATTTACATTTAGCTTTGGAGCACCTTTGATGTATTTTTAACAAGTACTCGAGCTACATTATCATTTTTTATGTACAGTAGTACAGTGTAGTGTGTATACATTAGTAGTAACCCTATACAGACTCTTTGCCATAACAGTTTCGTTAATAAAGCAACTTAGCTGAAAAATCAAAATTAGATTAGTTCTAAAGAATCAGACAGAAGTTTTTCATTACCTGACGATCAAGAGAAATTGTGTAGACAGTCTCTCTACTAGATTTCACAATTAAAGCATTAAAAATGCATTTGTTGTGTCCTTCGGTTTCTTCAGTTTTGAACACTTCCCACTTTTTCTTTCCTTTCTTTTTTAGATCCCAGATAAGTAACTCACCTCTAAATATATACATATTGTCATTAAACATTTATAAAACAAAAATATTAATATTCGAAACTTACGTAAATGTCGTTAATAACAACAGCTGGGTCGAATCCGGATACCAAATCACGGAAGACCAGTGACGACTTCGGTTCGATTCTTCGTAATGACTAGTTTTATGAATCTGAGGTATCGTGAATGCATGATCGCATTTTTCCTTTTCTATATTCCAAATTCGAACTGATTTATCGCGACTGCTGGTGGAAAGAAATCCGAGGGAAGCATCATTCTAAAAGTAAAAACATTTAAAAGAAAATGAAATAAACATTGTTACAATGTCTGCATGCGCTACAATGATGATATTTTAATATCATAAATTAGACATGAAAAATGCACCCCAATGCACAAGAACAGCAATCGTGGATCTCCAAACAGAATGGTATCTAACCTAGAAAAAGTTACAAGGATCCGAATCAAATACGAAGACGGATCCTCTGTAATGTCGACTCCAGGCCAATATTTATCACGTGACAATGTGACCAACATGTATATAAAATTACATATAATAATTACTTGCACAAAATATTTACCTCTTCCTTATCACAAACTGACCACGACAAAGAAATAATATCATTATCATGACCTCTAAACTTTTTGATAATTTGGCTATTGCAGACACTTAAAATGGCAACCAATCCTCCTTTATATCTGAAATATGACAAAATTATACCTAATTACTTTACTTTACTTTAAACAAATTATTCTAATAATTAATTAAATATGTAATTTCTTAATTAATTCACTCACCCAACCGCAATCCAATTTGAATCGTACGGACACGATTTTATTACGAGAACGGAACTTTTCTCGTTAGTCTTTAACGGCACAAGAGACTTCTTGACGGCATCCCAAACAAATAAACCCGACTTTTCACTTCCTATGTAAACCACATTATCTAATCCTGTATGCCAATCGACGCAAACCACTTTCTAAAATTTCAAAATAAAAAAGATATCAAATTATTACAATTAACTATTCTGATAATAAATATGCTCTGTGAAATTAAGAGTATGCATACCCTTGATTTAGCATACAATCACTTTATAAATTCTTCATAACAACATGAAATTCAATGGAAAATACTCAAATTACAATAGACTAATTAGACTATAAGAATGAACATTTGCAATAGATAAGCCAATCAGTGATGTAAACAAGTGTTTTGGTGGTGTGTATCTAAGACTGTGGCAATGCAGACGTGAGAATATTAGCAAAAAGTTTATAGTGAATTAGCAGAAAGTATCTTTCTCACAAATTATCATGGATTAAAGTTCACTTTATACCATGCTAGCTCCTTATTTCATTTTTGATGTGTATACAATTCAAACATGGCTTCTTCAGCATGTGAGCAAGAAGAAAAATGATCAAAATTTTCTTACAAAAAATTAAATAATTCAATTTATGACTTACCCCAAAATATAAAATAAGCAATTAAAAAAACCCATCAAAATATTAACATTATTGTTGATCTATTTTCTTTCTACAATCATTAGCTGTAGCCAAACACTTTAAACAATGTTTGATAAGTAAAAAGTAAAATGTGATTTTGTCAGCATTTTTTTTATCCTGTCTTTTATCATCTTTTAATATTTACTTATTTAATACTCTATGTGAAATTAATATTACCTGTGTGATTTTCACAACGGTAAAACAGCTTTGCAGATATTTCGACTTCCGAAGTCTTTAATTTAAACGAATAACCAAAAAGTAATGTGTTATTTGGATCATATTTAGTGCTTTAGGTCAAGACTCCACTAGCGTAAAAATCGTGGCCGTAAAAACTTTTAATCACATGACCTATTTGCATTTGCGTCTGGATTGCGGTGGAGGTCTCGCAAGCAAAGTTTTTACAGCGATGGTACTATCGAAGTTTTAATTAATTTGTCTTAATTATATCAATGTAAAATGTCTTGTTTTATTACCAATTTTATGTATGAAATTTATCATAAGTTATATCTCAAATTTATACTATCTGTTTAATCAATCTACTTCTAACACTTTGTACTTCATGTATTTGTTTTCGCATTTGTTACCGGTTGTGCTACATGCGGTACCGGTGTTGTACTTCCTTGTACAACAATAAAATATTGAATTGAATTGAATTGGTACTATCGAAGTTATAAAGACAATGATTATATTCTACAAGTTTTTTTCTGTACTATAATTACAAATGTAGTAAAAATAATGTCTTTACTTTCACATATTAACTTTTATTATCGTATTATTAATTAAGATAATATACAGCACTTATTAAGCTTAGCTTTTTTCATTATATACTCCTCTAAATTAAAAGATTTTCCTTTGGTTGTTCGTATCGTGTGATTTAGGCATCCATTATTATAATTGGGATACTTCTTGTCGTAGATATACGAATACTTTCGGATGTTTTCGATAAATCTTTCTGGATCTATTCTAGAGTAGCCACGAGGGAACGTACACAAAAGCTCATTTTCCGCCATTTTCACACCGCGTCACAATGACCTAGATTTAACTGACTTCTAATTGGTGGATGGTACCGTTTTACGGCCGTATTCGCGTCCAAAGTTGAACACTGCTCAACTCGCTTTTACACTGGTTTTATGACCTGCTCAAGCATAAAATATCAGGGTCACGTCATTAAAAGCTTTTACGGCGAGGGGTTTTTACACCATTTTTACGATAGTGGAGTCTCGGCCTTACATTACAAGAGAGGTTCTACAGCATACTGAATAGATTATAAGCCAATTTCAGTATAGCATTCAATATAGCCAATTTCAGGCGCTTAGCCAGAATTTTCTTTCGGAGGGCTCATTCCTCAAATTTAATGGCCGACACCTTTGGCCTTTCGGGTGTTATTTTGCTATTGTTGGTAGAATATATGTGTGTTTATATATATGCAGATATAAACAATGGCCTTAAGTTTTCTCCAGACCCAAGAAAAAATTCCCAGCTCTTGGGGGTTCTGAATGTAAATAATTCTAATAGCAAATTTGGCTAAAGAGAAGATCACTTAAGAATATACAGGTCATATGGTATGAACTTTCTCAAGAAAAAATACAAGATAATTCTTTGAGATTTGTGGAATTTTACAAAAATTTGTAATCTTTGTAAAACAGTAAGTCTGACGATAATTTTGCCACAAAGCAATGTTTTACAAAGGAAAAGATATTCAGCATGATAAGAAAAAGTAAGGCAGAGATAGAAACTAAATCATAACCAGAAAACATTGTCCTTAAAAATTGTAGTGAAAGACAATAGCAAGTGCAATTATATAACTGCTGTCATAAGTACACTGTAACAAAAGCAATTATTAAGAAAGCAAAACATCACGCAAAGACAAACAACAGGAGGAACTCATCGGACAATAACAAGACTCGTGACATGTCAAGACAGTATATGTCATAAATCTAGGTGTACATTTACGACACGTCCCATATAATATTTGATCTTTTTTAAATTGTGACATTAAAAAGTATAAAGCTATTGTCATTCTCTTGACAGTGTTCATGGCAATAACTTTATAAGATATCGTACGAACAGATAATATGAATAGTGAAAATGTTAGTGTATTGCTTAAACATAAATACCAATAATTTTTTTGCCTTTTATGCTGTCAGTGTCTTTTAACAACATCCCATCTATTCCCCATTCTAAAGGCTGGCAAGTATAAGTATATAGTGTACCAGTTAGAGTTAAGGAATGGGTATCTACTGTGTTTTAATTATTTAGAAAGTAATTAGGTAAAATGAGACATGTGGTGGTGGTTCCAAAATGGGGAAGAGCATTCCGAAAACAGCTTTTACCTCAAGCCAGTATTACCGCTATTCTTCATACTCTGTGTCAGTCGAGGCAAGAGACAAGCATCAACCGTTCCTCAACACACAGTCACACACTCAATAAGCACCTCGGTGCAGGGTAGGGACAAGCCCCCAACTACGTAACGTCAAGTATTCCACAAACGATCGAGTAGGCACCAGAAGCCGGCACGGTATCGGTCAGAGGTAAAAATTGTTTTCAAAGTGCCCTTCCCCACCCCGAATCGCCACCATCACTCATCACATTTCACCTAAGTAATTAAAAGAGCAGTATACACCCTTTCCTTAACTTTAACCCATACCTGACACAAATATATTGGTATTTTCATTCAACAACAAAGCTTAAACTACACATTGTATACATAAAACAGATTTATCATCTTACTTCTATATTTGTCACACAAAACAAGCATTCCTTAGTGTACACATTCCATATCTTGACTTTATTATCTTCGGCAGCAGTGGCTAATAACCGATGATCCGAGGACGAAAATGCCAAAGACGTCACTCTATCCTGATGAGCAGAGATGACGTCTAAATATTTCGGAGGGAATTCTCTGCCGTCTAACAAACAGACGTTCCCTCTGGCACCGTAAGCCACGATATTTTCCTTATTACAATCGATAATTCGGCTACAATACCAATTCGGAGAGGGACCCACGCTTATCCCGCTCATTGTCCCGCCGAAGTCAACACATACGACAACCACGTGCTTCTTCCGCCGCTACTGCCGGATTATTTGATTTTGGCGATAAGTGGGCTAGCGAAGTGGGCAAAGATGGCGGCGTGTGAGTATGATTTGTTTTTGCTCTCGAAATTTGATGTTTTGATGTGAATTTTATTATTTTTTGTATCGTAGAAGTAATTTTTATGAATATTTAAACCGTCAAGACGTCAATTAAGCATTTGTCGATCAGAAAAACAAGATGGCGGCATCATTACGGTTTTGTTCCGTCGGCACGTGTTAAAATAAGGATTCGACTAATATAACCCGTGTTTTCCAACTTTATATAAGAAATTTAATATTCTCGCGTGCCTAATACGTGCAGGTATTACATATATTATTTAAAAATGGCCATTCGGTAATTACAGAAATACCGGTGCGGATTAAGCGCACCACCGTCATTCCCACGCCACGTTGAAAACGGAAGCGCCAGTCTACGAAGTTTTAAACTGCCAATACAGTACAGCCGTCCCTTGATAATCCGGCAGGTATGGGACCAAAGGGGTGTCGGATTACCAAAAGTGTCCGGATTACCGAAAGTGATTACATATTTGGCATTGTTTTGCTAGCAGTAGCCTACAATATTCCCTACTCCAACTGTTCAAACAGAACTGCTCATGGAAAACACACGAAATGTGTGTCATCGTGTAAGAATTGGGTGGGGAGATTTCACGTCGCAACATGCTTCTGTGCAACAGACACATAACGGGGACGGATACCTTGACGGGAGGTGCGTCGGACTACTGAGCATGTCGGATTACAAAACGTCGGACTATCAAGGGACAGCTGTATTTGTTTACCCGTATTTAATGCCACCCTTTGGCACGGACGAAAATGCCGAAACATTGGCAAATTGGCACTGCCGGGAAACGAATAGCGCCCTTTGATAGAGCCGCTAGATCCAACATGGCGTCGAAATGACGGTACGGTATTCCGTTATATAAAAGAATGATGATAAAATATAACACGACACTAATTTTTGTTCATTTTGTAATAATGTCCGATTACTTTTTTCCCGGATCTTTATTTTGTAATGTGTTACGACATCTTCACATAAAAATACGTTGAAGTCCGAACGTACAGAGAATTCCCAAAATTTTGGACGTAACTCGGAATTTCGTCGGAGGTTACGACTTACGTTACGATACATAATGGAATGGTAATAATTTAAATATTTTTCGGTTTTCTCCACCTACCAGGACACCGTTCCTTTACGCAATCTTTTATTGTATGCCGCGACCTGCCTAGTCGTAGCATACAATAAAAGATTAATCTAATTAGGCTTTTAGGCCTTCTCTGCAAATTAGAGGACTTTTGCATACATTTCTGTGGTTTCTTGTGGGTCGTTACGAAGAGAAATGAGATGCATAACTCGACCTCTGCGTCCGGATCGTAACTCTTTCGAGCAGTCCGAGAGTTTTTGGACCGAGCTATAATTTAGTTATGGTGTGAAACTGGTATTCTATTCCAAATTTTCTTCTCTAGAGGAAGAAAAAGAATTAACTTTAATCTTAATTTTTCAGGTCTCTTTAGGCGACTTCTAAATACGATAAACTCGCGGACTCCGGCAAAGAATTGGGATCTCCTCTCCAGTAACGTGCGGATTACCTCCGCGCTCGACGCGTCGAGGTGGCGTAATGCAAACGGACAGATAAAACACTTCCACTCGTCCGCTCTCCTCAGTAAGAAAGAAATTCCGGGCGCCGGCATCTGGTTAGAAAAAAATAAAGAAATGTTTCCTCCGCAGGAACCTCACGAACCTCGGAGACCTGCCGTAAGTAGGACCGTTTCTTCTTTAAATTTTGGATGAATGCGACGTTCCCGCATTTACGATTGTACCAAATTGTCGGTGTGTCGAGAGCCGAATTTCGGGATAACATTGTGGTTTTTTGGTATTTTGTCTAAATTTCTTTTTCTGCATTTTTTAGTGGGTCTGTCACAACCGAGACAACATCAAATACAGTCCAAAAAACATGCAATATTTGGCTGCCGGAGTTAGTATACTTATTGTATTTTCTCTTCTGTTACCACGTCTTTGAGACTTTATCGTTTCCGTTTCTTGTAGATAAGAGGAATGTCGGTGGATGAAGCCATCAAGCAGCTCTCTCACGTGCCGAAAAAGGGCGCCCACATTATTATCGAAGTTAGTTCTTGTGGCATAAATTTCAAATTTAAAATGGAATATAAAATTACCATCTTAAATTTCAGGTTTTAAAAGAAGCGCAAGAATTAGCAGTTAACGAGCATCACGTGGAATACAGGTCGAACCTGTGGATCGGTAAGTACGTTTTTGGCTTTGCCGGTCGAACCCGGCGATTCCTTTTGATGATGTATGGTTCTTCCGTAGGGGAATCGTTTGTTGGAAAGGGAAGATACATCAAGGGTCTTAGGAAACATGCTAGAATGCGATTTGGAGTGGTCAAATATAGATATTGTCACTATTTTGTCAGACTGGTTGAAGGTCCTCCGCCCAAACACTACTACCCGCCGGAAGCCACCGGATACGAGAAATTACAAGAGTACATTCAGGAGTTGAGAGATCGTAGAATTATGGGATCGTTGTAATGACACAAATCATCATTATTTTGTTCTAGTAGTTACTTTATTACTGTAATAAATTCCATAAATTATTGACGAAAATACATATTATTTCCGTCTTGGCACAGATCAAAAATTCCATTTGTATAGAATTTACCACAAAATTAACATAAGTTGCTCTTAAGTATACAACTGAGACAAAAAGTTTGATTATACAGACAATATACATATTCTTGGAAATAATAATCGTACAGACTTTCCAAGTTGCATATTTTTAATTCGGAAACTTAAAAATTTTGCTTTATTTCGAATTAAACAACTCCGCATTAAGATAAAATATTCAGGCGACGTAATAATACATTTCCTAATGACTACAGAATAAACAATGCTTATCACAGGATACAATTCTCCTATAAACAAAATATAGTTTCATTTTCTTTTTTTTTTTTACATAAATAACAATATAATTCGGGAATATAGCACGTTAGTAAGGCTCTTATCCGAAATTTTCATTACTAATTTTCAAATTAAAATCACTATTCTTAGGATACGCTTTAAAATTTTAATATACACAAATCACTAAGTAAATGTATCTTCCTAAACAACATAAATGAAGGACTAAAAACTGATATAAAATATAAACAAGCCCGAATGAAAAAAAGAAACTGATCTCTCGTTTGATTCTCGATCAAAGAAAAGTATATACAGAACAACCCTTCTAGAAAAAAAAAAAAACACTGATAAAATTTCTAGATGAGGAACTCTTCAATGATGTTGGGAAAATTCATGCAAATTTGATTTTTTTTTTTTTATACACGTAAGTATGATTTTTCGAATTTGATACTGCAAAGTCATCTTAAATTATTTCTTTTTCGTTCAAACGAATATTAATATAATTTTATCTCAACTGATGGTGCAATCCACCTCGTCCTTCGGGAAACAGTTTAGCGTGGAGGCCACCGACCGGATCATGTAGGTCATGGTTCCGTAACAGCCGCTGGGTGCGCTGTCGTAGAAGTGCTGGCAGATTCCCGCCGCCCCGCCACAGGCGCTCACCCGTTCGGATTCTTTTGCGGCACAACACAGCGTGCCGTCTCCGTCCACTTTTCTCTGTTTTAAAAACGAAAGGCTCAGTTTCGGCTTGTAAAAATTCTCGAGAACTTTGAAATACCAACCTGGTCTTCTAGAAATATCTGATTGGCTTTGTGTACGAGATGTTCCACGTTTATTATCCCTCCCAGACACTGCACGGCATTGTGTTCGACTATTAGCGTCAACACCATCAATGCTTCCACCATTAACTGCCTGTATTCTGGTTGGGGTATGCTGTTTAAAACCTGTTCGACCTGAAGGGCGAATTTTAGTTCTCCCGGCGTCATCTGTTAAGAGTAATTTTCAAAATATAAAACTTTGACGAGTCTGCATTTGTGACGATAAGGACTCACCTCCCCGGTTAATTGCTGGTTGAGAACTTTTCCTTCCACCGATAATCCTTGACACTAGAAATATAAAGAATTTAACTTGTTAAAAGCAGTTTGGTATCTAGCTTAACAACAAAAACATTAAACACTTTTTAATGTAAACTCCTCTCTATGATTGATTTTCATCTTCACATCATCAACATATCAAAGATGTTTTTGAATAATGATCATCAGTTGAACAAATTTCTTTCAAATCTGTTATACACTTTCTACACTCTTCAATTTAGCTACTGTTTCATACTTTTAGTGCTTTTTATCTTTTAAACAGTACTTCAAAAGTATAAAGGCATTGTTTAAAAAATATTATCAAATTCAGAAGAATAGAATGGTTCTATTCTTCTGAATTTGATAATATTTGTTAAGTATTAAAGTAAAGAATAAGTAAAGAATTTGTTCAATTGACAATTAATTAACAGAATGATGATGGTATAAAGATGACAAATGATCTTGAAAACATTAAGAAGTTCTTTGTAACACTTTGATTAATGTAAAGTTTTATTTACTTTAATTTGACTTATATAAAGGAGTAAAGATACCTTGTGTAGTGTTTTTTCATTTTCTTTATAAATAAGATGTTAACAACATCATAGAATTTTTGCAACAGTTTTTTGAAACAACAGATCCAACATTACCTTCTCTAATACGCTCCAGATTTGAGGATAGAAGTTGCGCGGAACGCGATTTAATGCTCCGTCCAGACGTCTTCTCCTCAGCCACTGACCGTGTCTTTCGGATTCCGTTCCGACTTCGTCTTGAACATCTTTACCTACGAAATTGTCTACGGCACTTCTCTGAAATCAAATAATCATTAGATTGGAACATGTTTTTTTTTTTTTATCATCAGTTTGTTTAACATGCATATATTTTAGATTTAATTCTTGCTTCTGAAATAATTCTGAACTTATTTTTAATGTAATTCTGACTAATTTTATGTTTTTAATCTCCAGTTTTTAAAGTTTAGTTATACTTTGCTATACTGGAGAGCTCAAGGTAATAACTAAAACAGTAACAAAGTCCCAAATACTTTCAAGTCTATATAATACCATGGCCCAAATATTAGTTTATATTTTTCCCAATTTCAAGGGGCCAAAAAAAAATCACTCTTGACCTAAATTCAAGTCTGATTAAAGTTTCCTTTGTTTTCGATAACTTTGTGGTATGCACCATAGATGTTAAAATGACACTAAAATTCAGTGCATAGATTGTTTAGCAATACTAAACACCAGCCAACTTATTAGCTATCATGCAAGGCTGCAAACTAAATCGTCTAAAATTGGGGAAGGTTGCCAAAAATTTACCATAAAATTTATTCTGTTGTAAAATGTAATTTATATTGTAATTAAATCAAATGACCGCCATAATTAATTGGGCTATTACTAATAATCAGGATGTTTATTATATATATATACCATGCCAGGTAAAGCAATAGTCAACCAAGTGCCATAGTGGAGTACTACTTAGGCCATGGGCATAGAAGTCATCCCCAGCCGGCACCACAAGTAACCGCGAATGGTTATATCTAGGTTTAAATACATCCAGAAGCGAAGAATTGCTCAGAGGTCTGGATAGCTTAACTGGCAGCACACCAAACATAAGCAGAGGTTGCAGGTTAAAATCCCGCCCGGGCTAGTTCTTTTCATCCAGGCTGTTCTAAATTATTTAATAAATTATTATAATTATTGATTTAGATAAGAGATGGCACCTAACATCTACCTCTAATACCAAATTAGATATTAAGTAATTATTAATAGCAAAATAATAGCCGGATTAATTATGGCAGTTATTTGATTTAGTATCAATGCATCAGGCTTTGGTTTCTATTGTAATTATAAGTTTGTGTATTTGATATGATTATATGTTTTAGATAGTTATAAAAAAAAATAAGACAAATGAAAATGAAGCACAAAATTTTGGTTTTGGTTTCATTTTTGTTAATCATAAAACAAAACACACTTTCCAGAATACATGTGAAATATGCAAGGAAGTCTATTTCTATTGGTGTGACCTATATGCCAAGCAGACTACCATCTAGCACATGTAGAACAAAATCGAGACATGTCCTAACTTTTATTGATTTTATTTTTATTGACTTTGACAGAAAAGAAGCAATAAGTTACAATTTCTATAATACGCTTCTTGTCTAGTCTTGTGTTCAATTACACTAGCACTATGACGGCTTTTCCCTTTTCACTAGACTTATTACGCCATCAGTCAGAAAGAGGACAAACTTTAGAAAATCATATCTTTATTTCCCTGAAAAGTATGCATTTCGGACATTAAGTCCCTTTTCAACTCCATTTGGTGTAAATGATTATGAGTAGTACAGGAAATTGCAACGATGCATCCATATCGTATCCATCGTCATAATTTCCTGTACTATTCATAATCATTTATATCACATGGGGTTGAAAAGGGACTTAATGTCTGAAATGCATACTCCTCAGGGAAATAAACATATGATTTTCTAAAGTTTGTCCTCTTTCTGACTGACTGATGGTGTAATAAGTCTAGCAAAAAAAGGAAAAGCCGTCACAGTGTTAGTATAATTGAAGTTACAATTTGTTGCTTATAATAATCTCTTTCTATTAAAAAAAAACCTTTTGTTGTCCAACTTTGGAATTCAAAAGAAATTTTGTTTCTAAAATAATTTTGAGAAGAAAGAAATGTAATTCAATGAGAATTTTCATAATCAATGGCATAGATAAAAAGTATTAAAAATTCCAGATACAGAAGGTTGATCACGTTCCATAATGCCGATTTGCATATTATCCATAGTTCCAGTTGTAGGAAGTAGAATAAAAGCAACTGGCCCACGTGCTGCTGTATATTCTGAGTTTTACTTTTGATAAATAAGGTTTAACAATCGCAAATACGCCATCTAAAATTTCAGATTTTTGGGCAGATTATGTAACTTCACTTTCCAATGCAAAATATTTGCAAACTCAAATTATTAAAATGTGCAAAAATCGTGGTTTTAACGTTTTATGATATGGATACAAAAGCCAGGACCGTCATCAAGTGTTTCAATTCAGCCCAGAAAAAGGAATGCCCCAAGCTGCACACCAGAGCTGAAAGCAAAAGTGTGATGACTGATCAGTGATTCAAATCCAAAAACCCAACAAAGTATTGTCCAGAGTGTTGGAATGGCCCAATTCCAAAGTTCATGCCATCATTCACAAGAATTTGAAACTAGAGAAATGCCATAAAGGTTGAGTTCACAAACTGCTGTCTCATCACATCCAAGAACAAAAGACCAACTGCCAAAAACTGTATGAAAAATATCTTTTGGTAAACAAGCAGTTTGTAGTCATGTTAGATGAAGCATGGGTGTACATGAACAATTGTAACAAATCGCGGGCAATTTACTACAGACCATCAGATGGGAGACCATACCAAAAATGGTTCAAGGAATGTCGCAAAAGTTTTCCGTCAGGCTTTATGGTCATTGTGGGTTATTGTTATCGTGGTAAACTAAACATCAGAAAAGTTGAAAAAATGTTAAAATTAATTTGACTTACTACCAGACTAATGTTCTGGAACCTCTGTACTGTGAAGAGATCCCTGCTTTGTACAGAAATGACCAAATATATGGGTGCATCAAGACAAAGCTTCCAGTCATACCTCCAAATTGACCTGAGATTTCATCCATGTATTGGAACATGAAATAGTAATCCATACCATCCCTTTCAATGACATTCCCGTGAATTCACCCGACCTGGCTCCAACGGACTACTGTGCATTTGGTCTATTGAAATGAGCTCTGGGAAGCCATTGTCCAAAAACAATGGCAGGCTTATGGAAAGCCTGTAAGGAGGAATGGGACCGTTTAAACATGAATTTCTTCAAAGAAATCTTCTACAGTGGAAACTTTAATGTAGGGCTATAGTTTCACAACGTGGCCATCAGATCGAGCATAATCGAAACTGGCGCAATGGCATTTAGGTTACTTTATAGGCCTCTTAATTCGGCATTATGTAATGCCGAATTAAGAGGCCTATAAGATCAACCCTCTGTATTCTTGTGTTAGATTAACAGTAGAATTATAAAAAATTGGTGAAGATACAATTATAAGGTTATAAAGGGCTTTAAGTAATGTTACCAAGTATTACCAAGAACTTGGGCAGAACAATGTACTGTTTGAGGAAGCCGAAGACCGTTACGGCAGTGATGACAACAAAAGTTCCAACAAAGAAGAAAGTGATAAAATGTTTCAATGACTTTCTAAATTTTTTAATGCAAACTGCTAATTTTTGGTATGCAAATAAAATTAATATCAATAAATGGTTAGTTTATATTCAAGTTCTAATTTTTGTCACAAAAAGTTCCAAAATTGGGAGTTGACTTACATTTGGGCCAATATGGTAACAATATTTAACACAAGATGACAGTCAAGCAACCTATCTCTAACCAAATTGCTTAATATCTTATTAATTAATTAACTTTTATAATCCAGCAAGGATCTAGCTGTTTTTTTGATTACTTTCAAGTCTTACAGCTCATCTTCAAGGTATGTAAATTAAAAAACTTTTGATATTGGTAGCTAAAACAAAAAACTCAAATTTTTGCAATTCTTTCATGACCATATATTTCTGAAGGTTGTCACCAGAAGGCTAGCAAGTGTTCCAAACTGTATATTACTGTTATCATTGTTTTAAGCTCTCTGGTAAACCAGGGTATAACCAGATGCACAAAGTTCGTTAAAAAATAACACATTCTCTTAATGATACAGATTCAACATGAAATTTCATCATAGTTACTGCTCATTGCAATTCCACAAACAACATACTTTATAGTTTACAGAAATTAAATGTATCTTGTTAAATTTAGATATTTATATAATCTTAATATTTGGAATGAAGCAATGCATTCTAATTAATTAAACATTTTTAATAAAACATATACTACAAAGAATACTTAAAGAAATAATTTTTTATTGATTTTTAGATAAAAAATAAATTTTCTCACCTTGCTAGCTTTAGTATGAGCTAAAGAAATAATACCACTTCTCGCTGAAAAAAAGAATAAGATTTATTAAATGATGACAAAGTAAATACGTACTAATAACAGTTTAAAGTATTAATAATAATTTATAAACTGTGTGCTTCTGCTGGAAATATGTTAAATTTATAAATTCATACCACATTTTCTCAATATCCAACTTTGGAATATTCAAAACTTTGATAAAATCTAAAAACTAAATTAAGAAATTGCTTTGATTTTTATTTACATTGTTTTCTGTATTATGAGAATAATCATCATTTTCTTTTAGAGAGGTAATGGTGTTTTATCTTATTAATATAAGTAATTAACATAATATTTTTAAAAAATTAATGGAATAATTATGAATTATGAAAAATATATTATGGAAATATAGAAAAATAATATTGTGATTAAGTTTTAATTAAATGTTCTTGAATTCTGTTTTGCAAAAATTGTTTATAGAAAAAAGTATATATTATGCTTATCAGTTTGAAACATATTTTTCACATATTAATAATATATGATTGTGACTCTCACAAAGAATAAATAATAATTATTGTAAACGTAGCATTCTATGTATTTAGAACAAAATTAAATTACATATTTAGAGCAGAAAACAAACTTAGAATGGACATGCATAATTTTCCAAAGAATAGGAATAATAGTTGCACTCTAATAAACATTATAAATGGCATATTGTTAATTAGAATAAATATTATATTTATTTTGGATATTTAATAGAAATATCCAAATATCTATTGTAAAAATATATAAATCAATTTTCACATTGTACGGAGTGATCAAATTTAAAGTTTAATTGTGAAAACTGGACCTAACAATGCTATTAATCGGCCACGCTTGTTACTGCTCTACTACGCGTTGTGAGAAATTTAGTCAAGAGATAACATCTAACTCTATACAGTATAAATAAATTAATAATGTGTGACATGTCAGTCACATGCCACAGACTCCTGTCGTCTCCTACTTTACTCCTCCTAAGCAAGTTTACCATTTGATCAATCTATACATTGCTGGTCAAGATTACAAACCTGTAGCTAAATCTCTACTTGAATGAACAAGTTTTGACTTATTGTATAACCATTAAAAAGCACACACATGCTCATCTGTATTCATTTACATCTCAGAGAAGAAAATGAATGTAAAACACTACTTCAAAACTTTGTATTCTAAAAACTACAACATTTTGTATTGAGTTTATAATTTTGACCTGCAACATAAATCAAAATATTTTAAAGTCTAAATATTCTAATAAATTTTATAAATTAAATTTAATTCACTGCTATCAGGGTCAGTTTTATCGCTAGACATCATAGGCAATTGCCTAAGGACACTGCAAAAAAGGGGTGCCCATCTGTTGCAAAAAAATGAACAAGAAATAACAAAATAATTTTTCCTTCTTCCTAACAGTTGCCTATAATAATTTACTGTCACTACATGTTGTAATGCACATGCACTATTTGTATTTATCAACACTACAAGATAGGTCTATAATACACTCACAAATAGTGATGTTCAATGTCGGTCATTGATATTTTACCATCAATAACGTGTGATAAACATCAATGAAACATTGATTTTTTTAAAGCATCAATCAATATGGCATCTTTTACTATTTTATTCATAATTTTAAATTTTCAAAAATATTTAGGTCTAGACAATGAATACACCAGTATGCATCAAATGGTACATCGACAAACTGGAACATATTAAACTGTATTCTGATATTCACCAAGTTCATTGGTGCAGTGACTAACACATATTGCAGTTGCCAGGTTGTGGATACAGTAAGCTCAATATGATTGCCTCCACAGTTATTTTATTAACGCAATTTTTACTACTTAACTGTTTTAATCCAAAGTTATTTTGACAAAATAAGTCTGAAAATGTCAATATAGCACTGTTGCTTTCATCATCTTTTACTATTTTACTCATAATTTTAAATTTTCAAGAATATTTAGGTCTAGACAAAGCTTATTAAACTGTTCACCAGTGCTTTGGTTGTGGTTGAGACCGAGGCATACTGGAATGTACCCAATATTTTGATGCATCAAATATTTCCTCAGAGAGAACCGATTCTAATCACTGATTGGCACTGACTGATATTCAAAACAATGTACGATACTTGAAATTTATTGGTATCGGCAACCCAAACAATTAACTTCCTAACTTTGCATAAGATAGAAAAAGTAAACATTTTTGTTAACTGTTAACTTCAAAAGAAAAAAAATATGATATTCAAAAAATATGGTATTGAATGTTTTTCTAAAAATTTGTTGAATTTGCAGAAGTACACATTATATACATTTAAGTTAAAAAATCAAATTCAATTTTAAAAAGTAGTCTTAAATTTTTTTATATATAATTATTGTAATAATAACTAAAAAAGAGACAGGCAGACAACAGCAAACACACAAAAGCATGCAGCACATTGCAGTTAAATTGTTAATATAATTGTTTTCCTATGTTAATGATAAATAATTGAAGCAATTATATTTTAAAAACTGTACTCACTATTATTTTTTTGCTTTCAATTGATACCATGAAATAAGAATATTTTTAGATTATCAGATGAATCTGGAACAGTTGCTGTATTAATTATATAATCTCTAATATATTAGTTTGGCATATTATTAACTCTGCAGATTTTAATTTAATTATAATTAATGGCTTTAGTAAGAAAAGTTAGCAATTTAACCCCTTAACCATATTTTTGTATCGAATAAATTGACTTGATTTTTTGTAATTTAATTTTTTTAAATCTTTGTTTTATGATTAGCCATTTCCTGCTTCTAGTGTTAAACCATTTTTAACAAATACTATTTCTGCCTATATCTAATTAAAGTTTAAGTATGGAGCAGAACTCACGGGAAGTCAGATTTGGTGGTGCCAAGAGTCAATGGCACAAAGAATGTCGGCTCGAGAAGTTACAATGTCTGACTTGCAGTCGTGCCAAACTCCTTGCAATCCTACTTATGCTTGATTGCCTGATAGAATAACTGATAAAATATTACATAATTTGTTTTGGCTAATTATGCTATTTTTCAACTTACAACAATTAATTTTTAAGTATTTTAGCTATACATTAAATTGTATTGAATATTTGATTAGAAAGAATATTTGATTAGAAAGAATATTTGAAATCTACTAAGATTTATTAATAGTGTTTTTGACTTTACAGTATTTAGTAAAATTATAATCTCTGAAAAATAATAATTTCACTAAAAAAGTTTTAGATAAAATTCAATACAAACAATACAAATCAATCATAAAGAAAATGAAATATATTAATACTTCTGTTGCTGATCAATGCTATTTTTCATTATATAACTCACTATAATATGCCGACAATTGAAATTTGTGTCATTTGTATGCTGAACTTTTTGGTAAATTGCATACGCATTATTTTTCAGGTGTCATTTATTAATATCTTGAAATGTAAGAAGCATTTCAGAGATTATATTTATTGCTTGGTTTCTTACTTTCTCAGGATTTTTCTTCAGTTGACAAAAATGAATCAGTATATTCAATGCAACTTTATCTAATGGTGACAAGAAATTGTTAATTAAGTTAGCCTCTAGTGTAATCTGGTAAAACTATTTCCAATTATAAAATGCAATAAGCAAGTAAACAAGTACAAAAATGACCACCCACATTTGAATTAGGCAGACAGAAAAATAAGCTTCTCCTGGAACTAAAATCTTGCAGACAGGTTGAGATTTAAACCTTAAACTAAAAATGTGATTTAACAAGAGGAAGTTTATGGATGAAGACAAGATGATTGCTATGCTTGGATCTCAAACACTAAAAATATAAATTATTACTTTAAGAGTAAGAGTAACTAATATATGTATTACTTTGGAAATAAACTGTATATACAAAGCTAACTTGAGTGTTTCAATGAACCTACATTACACACTATTAATCATGCATTGGACATTTCTTTATTTAACCAGAAGGGAGTCTTTTATATTAAAATAAAAGACTCCCTTCCCATTAACTGATTTAATAGTTTTAAGCTAACTAAACTAAACTAGAAGCAGGAAAAAAATTAATTTTTTAATTATCACAACAACTTAAACTGAAAATTTCATTCATTTAGTTTTTGAATAAATTTTAATTAATTTTTATTCAAAAAATTTAACTGAGTTTTAGTAGAAAATATCTTCAAACAATTTAATTACAGCATCTTTCAAGAAATGAATAACATTTCATTTTGAAAATCCTGTTATATTGTGAAAGTGACAATGTTGCTTCCAGCATATCACCTACAAAGCCATAATTACATTTATTGCACAATAATAGAAAATTGTTGATGCAAACTTCACAGAATGCACAAACAAATTATAAGCATCAAAATTTGACATATTTAAACAGTTAATGCAGATTAAGGGGTTAACATAACTGTTTAATTATGCAAAGCTGAATTACAATTTAGCATTGATAAAGTTATTAAGTTTTCAATGCTTTCTTTATAAATGAAAGAAAAATGAAATGATAAAAATTTTTAAATTATCTTTCTTTTAAATTATAAAAGCATTGAAACTTAAAATATTTTATCAGATTAACAGAAATTATGTTCACAAAACATTTCTGCACAGCTATTTATGCTGTTAACTTACATACCGCTTTTCACTGCAAACTCTTTTCCGCTAAGTATGTGATGCAACAACGTTTTCATTTCAAACGGGCTCAAGTTTAATAAATGTTCCGAAGCCTCCTCACCTGAAAAGAATTAAAATATTTTAAAATAGTGAAATTTGAATAATTATGTATAATACAAAACATCTATAAATACCAGAACATTTTAAAGAGCGTCCGAGTTCAGAAGCCATTACTTGAATAATTAAGCCAACTCTCATTCGCAACATTTCATGAAATAGCTGTGGTTCAGTTCTAATGAACATAGCCAAATACACCAAAAGTTCCTTAAAGAATAAATAATTTCATTTATACAAAATTTTGAAATTATTTTGATAATTAAATGGTTAACATATTAATACGTTGATTTGTAATTCACCTATCAAAGCTCTAATATCTATAATACGCACCTGCGTGAGCATTGCTGTACTCTGATCACAGTCGTGAGCTTTATGTATGATATTTCGCAATTCTTTAGAAGGTAAAGGTCTATAATATATATAAAATTATTACTTTTTTAATAAGTTATAAATTACAATAAATGGCAGAAAAACCAAACACCAATCAAACATTTTTCACAAACATATAATTGTATAAATATATTAATATTAAAAGATAATAACACAAAATATATTTGTTATGAAATAAATTTTGTAAAATTTTCAAAATAAATGATCTTCCAAAAATAATGCCATCATTTTAGTTTAACATAATTATGTTAATGTATGCATTGTACACCAATCAATAGAGTAAATGTCCAAATTTCATCCACCATCTGCATTCAAACATCTTTTTCACTACTTCCTCTTGACATTCAAATGATAATCTGATATAACAGAATAAAATTTTCTAACTTGGAAACTTTGGAATTTAATTAAAATAATCTTGAATCAATAATTGAAGAGCTTCGTGCAACAGCAAGTACATTTTATAAAATTTTTTGAAAGATTCAAAAAAACATTTTACATTTTGAATAACTCATTTAACAGATTCTGACTTTATGCTGTTTCAAAGATCTACGAGTAAAAAAATATTTAGGTATGTTTTTAAACTTTTTACTTTTTATTAATTCTGTAAATAAAATATTTAAAAATGTACTTGGCTCATTGTTGTACCAAAATTTACATTATATAATATATTTTAAACTAGCTAAAAAGTCTATTTTATTCACTCTCACTACACATTTACAATCTTCAGATTTTATAAAATCAAAAATTATGGTATGATGCTTCACAACTCAAAGCAGCATTCTTCTGCTACACATGACTTTAAAGATAAATATAACAGTTACCTTTCTAATAGCAAAAGTAGCAAATTTCTACAGCTGAAGATCTATTATGGTCAAAAGGTTGTACTTGACTGGTTGTTGCACTGAGCCCTTCAATTATTAAATAAAATTTCTCTTTCAATTCCAGTATTAATGTATAATTTAAGAATTATCACTTCTAACAAAATTTGTCAAACACAAAATGTATGAAAAAAATTAACATATGGATTTTTTCTGGATAATTCAGACAATTTTATTAAGAAATGAATTATTTCTAGATCAAAGATATTTAAATAATATGCTGTTTATTATATAAGATTAGAAAATTTACCGTGTTATAGTATATTCATTCATAGGCGGCATTCCTACAGTAATTTGTTTCTGTCTTACTAATAAGTCAGCTACGGCCTATTTATAAAAATTTTTTTTATTAATTTTAATAATATATGTTTAAAAAAATTCTAAATCATGTAGAATTGTACACAAAATAACATACTTTTGTAAGATCTTCTACCCTTTTCCCTAACATTCCTGCAATATGTCTAACAAGACTCCATTTCTTTTCATGACAAGCCTATGAAAGTAATTAAATTATTGTTAAAACGGTTAAACATTTCATTTTACTTATATTGAATATTGGATTTCTATAGACTTCCAAATAAATATCATTGAAAAATCTTCAATGACTAACAAATTTATTTGGAAATCATAATTTAGAATTACTTATCAACTAAATTATTTACTTAAAAAAAATTTTTAAATTTTACCTTTTCGTAAGTAACTTTAAGCAGATCTCTAACTTTAATCTGATTATCTGGAGTACCAAGACCCGTATCCCATTGTACACCTCTAAAACGTTAATTTTATTATGTAATATTAATTATTTTTAAATTATAAAAATCAATATTAATATTCAAAACCTACTTTGTAACTACAAGATAGTGTAATATATCTCCTTGTTCTTCTAATATTTCAGTTTCTTTAAACATGTTGATGAGATCTTCCCCAGTAACACCTTTATCAAACTGTAATTCAGACATGGTCCTAGTACGATTCTTTGCGAGATCTGACTCCCAGGATTCTTCTTCTTCTTCGTATGGAGGACTCTGTCCACCCTCTGCAAACTCGATGGTAGGGCTGGCCGGAGAGGAATCGTGGATGTTCTCTCTCTCGTAATTAGCTCTTAGACGAGTTAGTTCTAATAAAAATTATTAATGTAAATTAGGTTTTCAGTTGATATTTGAAAATGTTTATTAATGATATTACTCAAACTGCACAAATAAACCTAAAAATAAATAAGTATTCGTGTTCTTTTATTTAAATCTTCTTCAGATTATATTTAGTATAAAAGATCAAACATAGAACTCAAAAATCAAAGCTTTCTTTAGATTATGTAGAATACAATCTGAAGCACCTTTAAAGAGAATAAACATGTTTATTTTCATTAAAAGTAATTCTTTGAATTTATTTGTATAATTTGAGGATTTATCAAACTAAACTTTTCAACAGGGAAGAATATGTTTCTTTATGTTTATGCAATATATAATTTTGCAAATACAGTCAAACCCTGTTAGTACATTATCAATTTATGCTAAGTCTGCATTAATAAAAAGTAGATTTGCGATCCCATGAACAAAGATAGACATTTCAATGCAAAATACTGGTTAATATGTAATAATGTTTGTCATGTCTCCACAAACTTAATAACAATTATATTACATATTTTAATACAAATCATACTGCTTTCAGTTTCCTTGAAGTCACACAAGCCAAACTGGAAAAACATAAAACACATTATGACCAGGGAGATTTTTTGACTAACGTTGGATAAAGTTTATGAACTTAATGTTGTCATCATTGCTAATGCAGATGTATGCCACACAAATGAAATTTGCTCCAATTTGAAAAATTACTCTCATCTCTTACAGTCAACATTTTGTATGCTCTGTTAATATTGAACAATTAATTAAAACTGTTGCATGGTCATTGGAAACTGGAAATTTTTTGTTTACTCTTTCTGCCTTGTAAGCACTAAAAGTACTTTATTTTCAGGACCATCATGGGTTTGATCAGGCTTATAATGGGGTAGGCAAGTGGTGAGGGAATGGGGCCTAACATATCCAGAAAAATTCTTGGGGTTTTAACCTGCCCAGAACAGCAGACTGATACCTTAACTGTTTCAGCCATCTCAACAATAAGAAAACCAGGAGTTTATACGATCAAGTGTAGGATTTTATCAGATTTTAAAAAATAGTTATATTGTTTAAATAGTGGAAATAATGAAACAACTGAACAATAATATTAAATACTGTAATTAGTTCATAATTTTAAGTTAAAAACAAACTTCTGTTTCAACAAACCTTTATAATTGAACCAACAAATAAAGTTTTTAATATATTTTGACAATTTAATATATTTGCTGGTTTAATTATAAAGGTTTGTTGGAGTTATTTACTATATAGCCAGATGAAAACAGAAGTTTTAAAACTTCTGTTTTCATCAAAATCCAAACAAATAAGTTATTTTTAAATTTGCAAAGTTTTATATGAGTTCATCTCCTGGATTCAATTTGGTTGATAGGTTAACTTGCTACATCCAGTAGTTTTAATCATCATTCTAGCAACTCTAGCTGATGTCAAGAAATGAGCATTGATTCTTTAAGTCAATGTATCTCAATAAAGTGTATATTTGTAGTAGCACAAAAGGTTATTCGTTTATTTAATTTTTAACATATCGAAACAAGGTAAATCATAGTGAAATAACCAGGAGAAAATTTGGCTTTTTCTATTTGATGACATAACAATCTTTTGTAAAGTTTACTTAACAAGAACCTTGTTAATACAAAGTGCCAAGTTTTAAGTCCCTTCAAATTTGTAATAATAGGTTTGACTGCATTGCTATCTCAAATGCATTAATTTAATAATTCAATGCACATTTATTTATTAGTTAATTTAAATTATTTTCTAATGTGTATAAATCTGTGCTGAGTATAACCTTCAGGATATTTTTCAAATTTTCAGGCAAATTACATCCAGCTTTTTATAGTTTGAAATCACTATTATGTAACTTTGCAACTATTATATATCTTCTGTTGAAAACTAGCATATTTGACCTTATATTTCTGATAAAATTAAAATAATCCTGAATAAAATGGCTTTTAATATTTACTAACTTACCATCTATACAACTACTTAAATTTTTTATGGAAAACTGAGAACATGTGCTCATCTCACTTAATAAATATTTATATACCATATTTACTTGCATATAAGATGAGGTTTTTATTCATTTTTCATTACTTCAAAAACCTAGGTTATCCTATACGCACGAGCAAAGGAATCTTTACGTTTTTGCAATGATTTTTGTGAACTGTATATCCACATTTTTTACTGGATGCTCACCCTCTGGTGTTTAAAAACAAAAGCATTTTATCTGGGTCGTTTCAATCATTCTTGCGTATTGTCAGGAGTAAAGATGAATAACAATAAAAAAGAAAAGCTTTTGAATCGAATTCCAATTTAAAATTCCAAAATCACACAGGAGCCCGATATAAGTTTTAATCCATTCCCATGTGAAAACAGATAATTATTCGGAAATTAGAATTCAGAGAAACTCATAAGTGTAATCAATGGAGAGTGGATCTGACTGTCAAGAATTGGCAAAAAAAGGTCCCGATTGTCCAACTTTATGCGCACAAATTATGTTGTCGATTTTATAAGATTTTTCCTTAAAGTTTAAAATGCCAGTAATTTTTGCAGGACAATGTGTGCATTTACGTGCATCTGACATTTTTTGTGATTAAATGAAATTAAATTAAATTGTATTAATAAATCTAATTTTCTTTATTTTGATCTTTAAAATCACACCTCTTCCTATATGTGAGATTGTCTTATAAACGAGTAAATATGATATGTACCAGTACANAATAATTATGAATTATGAAAAATATATTATGGAAATATAGAAAAATAATATTGTGATTAAGTTTTAATTAAATGTTCTTGAATTCTGTTTTGCAAAAATTGTTTATAGAAAAAAGTATATATTATGCTTATCAGTTTGAAACATATTTTTCACATATTAATAATATATGATTGTGACTCTCACAAAGAATAAATAATAATTATTGTAAACGTAGCATTCTATGTATTTAGAACAAAATTAAATTACATATTTAGAGCAGAAAACAAACTTAGAATGGACATGCATAATTTTCCAAAGAATAGGAATAATAGTTGCACTCTAATAAACATTATAAATGGCATATTGTTAATTAGAATAAATATTATATTTATTTTGGATATTTAATAGAAATATCCAAATATCTATTGTAAAAATATATAAATCAATTTTCACATTGTACGGAGTGATCAAATTTAAAGTTTAATTGTGAAAACTGGACCTAACAATGCTATTAATCGGCCACGCTTGTTACTGCTCTACTACGCGTTGTGAGAAATTTAGTCAAGAGATAACATCTAACTCTATACAGTATAAATAAATTAATAATGTGTGACATGTCAGTCACATGCCACAGACTCCTGTCGTCTCCTACTTTACTCCTCCTAAGCAAGTTTACCATTTGATCAATCTATACATTGCTGGTCAAGATTACAAACCTGTAGCTAAATCTCTACTTGAATGAACAAGTTTTGACTTATTGTATAACCATTAAAAAGCACACACATGCTCATCTGTATTCATTTACATCTCAGAGAAGAAAATGAATGTAAAACACTACTTCAAAACTTTGTATTCTAAAAACTACAACATTTTGTATTGAGTTTATAATTTTGACCTGCAACATAAATCAAAATATTTTAAAGTCTAAATATTCTAATAAATTTTATAAATTAAATTTAATTCACTGCTATCAGGGTCAGTTTTATCGCTAGACATCATAGGCAATTGCCTAAGGACACTGCAAAAAAGGGGTGCCCATCTGTTGCAAAAAAATGAACAAGAAATAACCAAATAATTTTTCCTTCTTCCTAACAGTTGCCTATAATAATTTACTGTCACTACATGTTGTAATGCACATGCACTATTTGTATTTATCAACACTACAAGATAGGTCTATAATACACTCACAAATAGTGATGTTCAATGTCGGTCATTGATATTTTACCATCAATAACGTGTGATAAACATCAATGAAACATTGATTTTTTTAAAGCATCAATCAATATGGCATCTTTTACTATTTTATTCATAATTTTAAATTTTCAAAAATATTTAGGTCTAGACAATGAATACACCAGTATGCATCAAATGGTACATCGACAAACTGGAACATATTAAACTGTATTCTGATATTCACCAAGTTCATTGGTGCAGTGACTAACACATATTGCAGTTGCCAGGTTGTGGATACAGTAAGCTCAATATGATTGCCTCCACAGTTATTTTATTAACGCAATTTTTACTACTTAACTGTTTTAATCCAAAGTTATTTTGACAAAATAAGTCTGAAAATGTCAATATAGCACTGTTGCTTTCATCATCTTTTACTATTTTACTCATAATTTTAAATTTTCAAGAATATTTAGGTCTAGACAAAGCTTATTAAACTGTTCACCAGTGCTTTGGTTGTGGTTGAGACCGAGGCATACTGGAATGTACCCAATATTTTGATGCATCAAATATTTCCTCAGAGAGAACCGATTCTAATCACTGATTGGCACTGACTGATATTCAAAACAATGTACGATACTTGAAATTTATTGGTATCGGCAACCCAAACAATTAACTTCCTAACTTTGCATAAGATAGAAAAAGTAAACATTTTTGTTAACTGTTAACTTCAAAAGAAAAAAAATATGATATTCAAAAAATATGGTATTGAATGTTTTTCTAAAAATTTGTTGAATTTGCAGAAGTACACATTATATACATTTAAGTTAAAAAATCAAATTCAATTTTAAAAAGTAGTCTTAAATTTTTTTATATATAATTATTGTAATAATAACTAAAAAAGAGACAGGCAGACAACAGCAAACACACAAAAGCATGCAGCACATTGCAGTTAAATTGTTAATATAATTGTTTTCCTATGTTAATGATAAATAATTGAAGCAATTATATTTTAAAAACTGTACTCACTATTATTTTTTTGCTTTCAATTGATACCATGAAATAAGAATATTTTTAGATTATCAGATGAATCTGGAACAGTTGCTGTATTAATTATATAATCTCTAATATATTAGTTTGGCATATTATTAACTCTGCAGATTTTAATTTAATTATAATTAATGGCTTTAGTAAGAAAAGTTAGCAATTTAACCCCTTAACCATATTTTTGTATCGAATAAATTGACTTGATTTTTTGTAATTTAATTTTTTTAAATCTTTGTTTTATGATTAGCCATTTCCTGCTTCTAGTGTTAAACCATTTTTAACAAATACTATTTCTGCCTATATCTAATTAAAGTTTAAGTATGGAGCAGAACTCACGGGAAGTCAGATTTGGTGGTGCCAAGAGTCAATGGCACAAAGAATGTCGGCTCGAGAAGTTACAATGTCTGACTTGCAGTCGTGCCAAACTCCTTGCAATCCTACTTATGCTTGATTGCCTGATAGAATAACTGATAAAATATTACATAATTTGTTTTGGCTAATTATGCTATTTTTCAACTTACAACAATTAATTTTTAAGTATTTTAGCTATACATTAAATTGTATTGAATATTTGATTAGAAAGAATATTTGATTAGAAAGAATATTTGAAATCTACTAAGATTTATTAATAGTGTTTTTGACTTTACAGTATTTAGTAAAATTATAATCTCTGAAAAATAATAATTTCACTAAAAAAGTTTTAGATAAAATTCAATACAAACAATACAAATCAATCATAAAGAAAATGAAATATATTAATACTTCTGTTGCTGATCAATGCTATTTTTCATTATATAACTCACTATAATATGCCGACAATTGAAATTTGTGTCATTTGTATGCTGAACTTTTTGGTAAATTGCATACGCATTATTTTTCAGGTGTCATTTATTAATATCTTGAAATGTAAGAAGCATTTCAGAGATTATATTTATTGCTTGGTTTCTTACTTTCTCAGGATTTTTCTTCAGTTGACAAAAATGAATCAGTATATTCAATGCAACTTTATCTAATGGTGACAAGAAATTGTTAATTAAGTTAGCCTCTAGTGTAATCTGGTAAAACTATTTCCAATTATAAAATGCAATAAGCAAGTAAACAAGTACAAAAATGACCACCCACATTTGAATTAGGCAGACAGAAAAATAAGCTTCTCCTGGAACTAAAATCTTGCAGACAGGTTGAGATTTAAACCTTAAACTAAAAATGTGATTTAACAAGAGGAAGTTTATGGATGAAGACAAGATGATTGCTATGCTTGGATCTCAAACACTAAAAATATAAATTATTACTTTAAGAGTAAGAGTAACTAATATATGTATTACTTTGGAAATAAACTGTATATACAAAGCTAACTTGAGTGTTTCAATGAACCTACATTACACACTATTAATCATGCATTGGACATTTCTTTATTTAACCAGAAGGGAGTCTTTTATATTAAAATAAAAGACTCCCTTCCCATTAACTGATTTAATAGTTTTAAGCTAACTAAACTAAACTAGAAGCAGGAAAAAAATTAATTTTTTAATTATCACAACAACTTAAACTGAAAATTTCATTCATTTAGTTTTTGAATAAATTTTAATTAATTTTTATTCAAAAAATTTAACTGAGTTTTAGTAGAAAATATCTTCAAACAATTTAATTACAGCATCTTTCAAGAAATGAATAACATTTCATTTTGAAAATCCTGTTATATTGTGAAAGTGACAATGTTGCTTCCAGCATATCACCTACAAAGCCATAATTACATTTATTGCACAATAATAGAAAATTGTTGATGCAAACTTCACAGAATGCACAAACAAATTATAAGCATCAAAATTTGACATATTTAAACAGTTAATGCAGATTAAGGGGTTAACATAACTGTTTAATTATGCAAAGCTGAATTACAATTTAGCATTGATAAAGTTATTAAGTTTTCAATGCTTTCTTTATAAATGAAAGAAAAATGAAATGATAAAAATTTTTAAATTATCTTTCTTTTAAATTATAAAAGCATTGAAACTTAAAATATTTTATCAGATTAACAGAAATTATGTTCACAAAACATTTCTGCACAGCTATTTATGCTGTTAACTTACATACCGCTTTTCACTGCAAACTCTTTTCCGCTAAGTATGTGATGCAACAACGTTTTCATTTCAAACGGGCTCAAGTTTAATAAATGTTCCGAAGCCTCCTCACCTGAAAAGAATTAAAATATTTTAAAATAGTGAAATTTGAATAATTATGTATAATACAAAACATCTATAAATACCAGAACATTTTAAAGAGCGTCCGAGTTCAGAAGCCATTACTTGAATAATTAAGCCAACTCTCATTCGCAACATTTCATGAAATAGCTGTGGTTCAGTTCTAATGAACATAGCCAAATACACCAAAAGTTCCTTAAAGAATAAATAATTTCATTTATACAAAATTTTGAAATTATTTTGATAATTAAATGGTTAACATATTAAGACGTTGATTTGTAATTCACCTATCAAAGCTCTAATATCTATAATACGCACCTGCGTGAGCATTGCTGTACTCTGATCACAGTCGTGAGCTTTATGTATGATATTTCGCAATTCTTTAGAAGGTAAAGGTCTATAATATATATAAAATTATTACTTTTTTAATAAGTTATAAATTACAATAAATGGCAGAAAAACCAAACACCAATCAAACATTTTTCACAAACATATAATTGTATAAATATATTAATATTAAAAGATAATAACACAAAATATATTTGTTATGAAATAAATTTTGTAAAATTTTCAAAATAAATGATCTTCCAAAAATAATGCCATCATTTTAGTTTAACATAATTATGTTAATGTATGCATTGTACACCAATCAATAGAGTAAATGTCCAAATTTCATCCACCATCTGCATTCAAACATCTTTTTCACTACTTCCTCTTGACATTCAAATGATAATCTGATATAACAGAATAAAATTTTCTAACTTGGAAACTTTGGAATTTAATTAAAATAATCTTGAATCAATAATTGAAGAGCTTCGTGCAACAGCAAGTACATTTTATAAAATTTTTTGAAAGATTCAAAAAAACATTTTACATTTTGAATAACTCATTTAACAGATTCTGACTTTATGCTGTTTCAAAGATCAACGAGTAAAAAAATATTTAGGTATGTTTTTAAACTTTTTACTTTTTATTAATTCTGTAAATAAAATATTTAAAAATGTACTTGGCTCATTGTTGTACCAAAATTTACATTATATAATATATTTTAAACTAGCTAAAAAGTCTATTTTATTCACTCTCACTACACATTTACAATCTTCAGATTTTATAAAATCAAAAATTATGGTATGATGCTTCACAACTCAAAGCAGCATTCTTCTGCTACACATGACTTTAAAGATAAATATAACAGTTACCTTTCTAATAGCAAAAGTAGCAAATTTCTACAGCTGAAGATCTATTATGGTCAAAAGGTTGTACTTGACTGGTTGTTGCACTGAGCCCTTCAATTATTAAATAAAATTTCTCTTTCAATTCCAGTATTAATGTATAATTTAAGAATTATCACTTCTAACAAAATTTGTCAAACACAAAATGTATGAAAAAAATTAACATATGGATTTTTTCTGGATAATTCAGACAATTTTATTAAGAAATGAATTATTTCTAGATCAAAGATATTTAAATAATATGCTGTTTATTATATAAGATTAGAAAATTTACCGTGTTATAGTATATTCATTCATAGGCGGCATTCCTACAGTAATTTGTTTCTGTCTTACTAATAAGTCAGCTACGGCCTATTTATAAAAAATTTTTTTATTAATTTTAATAATATATGTTTAAAAAAATTCTAAATCATGTAGAATTGTACACAAAATAACATACTTTTGTAAGATCTTCTACCCTTTTCCCTAACATTCCTGCAATATGTCTAACAAGACTCCATTTCTTTTCATGACAAGCCTATGAAAGTAATTAAATTATTGTTAAAACGGTTAAACATTTCATTTTACTTATATTGAATATTGGATTTCTATAGACTTCCAAATAAATATCATTGAAAAATCTTCAATGACTAACAAATTTATTTGGAAATCATAATTTAGAATTACTTATCAACTAAATTATTTACTTAAAAAAAATTTTTTAATTTTACCTTTTCGTAAGTAACTTTAAGCAGATCTCTAACTTTAATCTGATTATCTGGAGTACCAAGACCCGTATCCCATTGTACACCTCTAAAACGTTAATTTTATTATGTAATATTAATTATTTTTAAATTATAAAAATCAATATTAATATTCAAAACCTACTTTGTAACTACAAGATAGTGTAATATATCTCCTTGTTCTTCTAATATTTCAGTTTCTTTAAACATGTTGATGAGATCTTCCCCAGTAACACCTTTATCAAACTGTAATTCAGACATGGTCCTAGTACGATTCTTTGCGAGATCTGACTCCCAGGATTCTTCTTCTTCTTCGTATGGAGGACTCTGTCCACCCTCTGCAAACTCGATGGTAGGGCTGGCCGGAGAGGAATCGTGGATGTTCTCTCTCTCGTAATTAGCTCTTAGACGAGTTAGTTCTAATAAAAATTATTAATGTAAATTAGGTTTTCAGTTGATATTTGAAAATGTTTATTAATGATATTACTCAAACTGCACAAATAAACCTAAAAATAAATAAGTATTCGTGTTCTTTTATTTAAATCTTCTTCAGATTATATTTAGTATAAAAGATCAAACATAGAACTCAAAAATCAAAACTTTCTTTAGATTATGTAGAATACAATCTGAAGCACCTTTAAAGAGAATAAACATGTTTATTTTCATTAAAAGTAATTCTTTGAATTTATTTGTATAATTTGAGGATTTATCAAACTAAACTTTTCAACAGGGAAGAATATGTTTCTTTATGTTTATGCAATATATAATTTTGCAAATACAATCAAACCCTGTTAGTACATTATCAATTTATGCTAAGTCTGCATTAATGAAAAGTAGATTTGCGATCCCATGAACAAAGATAGACATTTCAATGCAAAATACTGGTTAATATGTAATAATGTTTGTCATGTCTCCACAAACTTAATAACAATTATATTACATATTTTAATACAAATCATACTGCTTTCAGTTTCCTTGAAGTCACACAAGCCAAACTGGAAAAACATAAGACACATTATGACCAGGGAGATGTTTTTGACTAACGTTGGATAAAGTTTATGAACTTAATGTTGTCATCATTGCTAATGCAGATGTATGCCACACAAATGAAATTTGCTCCAATTTGAAAAATTACTCTCATCTCTTACAGTCAACATTTTGTATGCTCTGTTAATATTGAACAATTAATTAAAACTGTTGCATGGTCATTGGAAACTGGAAATTTTTTGGTTACTCTTTCTGCCTTGTACTAAAAGTAATTTATTTTCAGGACCATCATGGGTTTGATCAGGCTTATAATGGGGGCAGGCAAGTGGTGAGGGAATGGGGCCTAACATATCCAGAAGAATTCTTGGGGGTAAAAACCTGCCCAGAACAGCAGACTGATACCTTAACTGTTTCAGCCATCTCAACAATAAGAAAACCAGGAGTTTATACGATCAAGTGTAGGATTTTATCAGATTTTAAAAAATAGTTATATTGTTTAAATAGTGGAAATAATGAAACAACTGAACAATAATATTAAATACTGTAATTAGTTCATAATTTTAAGTTAAAAACAAACTTCTGTTTCAACAAACCTTTATAATTGAACCAACAAATAAAGGTTTGAATATATTTTGACAANGAAGCAACAAAGCATAAGAGGAAGGTCATAATATTGACAATTGAGATGAGAAAAGAACTCATTGTAAAGCAGAAAAGTAGTGTGTGTGATGAATCTGCCAATCATGTTTAAGGTGCAAAATCAACAGTGTGGAACCAGTAAATGCAACTTTAATTTTATTACACAATATTTACACATCTTATTTATTGTTTTTGTGTTTTAATTTATTATTTAGCACATTTAACTATGTTGCTTTTTACCTTAAATTATGTGTATTTATTGATATGTGTATCACTTAGGGTCGAGAATGAATTAATTTGCTTTCCATTATTTCTAATGAGCAAAATTCATTTCAACTTTAAACAATTCAGAGTTTGAACAGCCTTTCAAAAAAAATTAAATTTAAAGTACAAGGACTACTGTTTTCCTCCTATATCATACAAACTAATAATTAATTAATAATTAAAACATGAAATCATAACTTACCGAGTACCATTAATGTAACCACTTTTTAATTTCTTAATTGTGGAAATCATTGCTCCAGGGACTTTGTCATTTTCTAAAATAATTAAAATCAAAATATTTTATAACTTTTTAAAATGATCATTGAATATCTTATAAAATTCAATTTTATATCTAGATAAAACTATTAATAACTAAATACTATCTCCCTATATAGCATTTTATACCTATAAATAATATTCTTATGAAGTAAAAGTACTTTTATGCTGTAACTGAATGTATATTAAATTAATCCTTACTTTGGCATCAAAGTCAAACATACTTTTCCACCTTTATTGTTAAAATTAATGAAAATGATTTTAATATATCTAATATATATCGGCGTTAATAAGGTAATATTAAAGGTTTTGTTGGTTGTATTTAGTAATTTTATCTAGTTATTGAAAAGAAGGTAATTTTGGTTATTTTCAGTTGTGTTTATTAACTTATTAATGCCGACAGAACTGTCTATTGGCGTTAATAAGGTATTACCTTATTAATGCCAATAGACAGTGCTCTTAAACTTTTATCTGATTGATAATGCTTTTATGAAAAACTGGAAAATACTCACATAAATTAGTTATTATTATGTAATATTTTATGTCTGTTTTAATTTTATACATCTTAAAAATGCCACCAATTCTTTATAAGTATAGTTTATATTTTACATCTTTAGGGTTTGTTCTAATCATTTAAAAAATTTTTGAAAAGGTTGTTCTGTGCATTCCAATTTCCAATATCATTGTTGAACTGATGCAGATCTTGTTTGTCAAGTTTTACATTAAAGTTTGTTACTGGATATCAAAATAATCAAATTTTAAATTATTAATGTCTATTAAATATTCTAATATTTGTTGTTAAATTTGAACACTTAACAACAAATACTAATAATTTAAAATTTGATTATTTTGAGTTGTTGGGTTGAAATTTTTAATCATATTGTAACTTAAAAACCACGTGACTTCTAAAGTTCCATATCTGGTCTTAACTTTCATCTATTTAACTCCATTCTCAAGAAAATTTTAAATTGAAATCATGCGACTTCCAGTCTGGGTTGGAATTCACACAATACAAACTTCAATCTGGAATAAGACCTAACTCCAATCTTGAGATTAAGGAACAAACAAATGAAAGTGGAAATCTATAGATCTGCAATTTGTAAATTAGAAAAGTTATTATTGACTGAAAAATAAATGACACTGAAATCAAAAATTGATTCTGAATCTAAAAGATATGTTTTCAGTTATTTGATAGTTATTAGCAAAAAAAGATAAAAAAAATGTTTTGTATATGTTACATAATTTTTCACTTTTTTATTCAAATATCAATGAAAGGATAATAATCTATCAATCAAAGTAAGAAGAATCATTTAAAAAGAAAATATTCACATCAAATTAAGATATAATTTTTGCTCAATTCAGTTAAATCCATTATTCCAAACAATGCTTATCATCATTAAATATATTGCTGTTTAACTTGTCAGAATTACATGAATTTCAAAAATTAGTTACAGCACCCACAAACAGAAAGTGTGCATCATCAGTTACAAGCATTGTCTAGCTAATTTTTGAAATTAAAGTTTTTATATAAACTTTCTCTCTCTCAGTCAACTTAGAAATTAAGTTAGACTTGGTCTTAAGGGACATAGCTACCCACGAAAACTAGCCGTTTTTGTCACTGGTAACCAGAACTCATGTTAATGTTCTATCGCCTTAATACTTTGTTACGTTGCATCTGTAATCTCTTCTTGTTTAGATTAAAGGCCTTAAGTTTGTTTAAATGGTTGTAATAACTCATGTATTGACACCACCTTATCAATGACCTCACTAACTCTCCCACTTGTTCTATCTAAAAGACCACCATCCATTGACCCCATGAGCAGGACATGCCATCCCAACGTCATAGAACAGGCTAAGCCTTGTGCCTTAACTACCAACTTCTCACACAATTCCTATACATAACCATGTTCTGCTTTGATAAAGACGTTTTTCTCATCGTATTACATCTGGAGTAATTTTTTGTATGGGAAGCTGAACACAGTATTTACATGCTCAAATTATCAGGTTATTAAAAGGCTAATTTAATAATCAGATATTAGTAACTTATCTAAAGGAGGCAGTACCACTAGACAGATTGTTTAATATCTTTCCATATCCCAATAATTCAGCAGATCATCTAGTTGTGATTAATGAATTATTATTTATCGTACTTTAATTTCAACACTTTGACTAGAACAGAATAGAAGGCAAATAAGGGGCAACAATAAGAATGATTAGCAGAACTCGTTATCTCATATCAGAACTGAATTCATATTTTTTCAAAAGTGAAAAAAAATATTCAGTTACTCTTGAAGGTACAAGGTTTGTTCAAAAAGTATCAAACCTTTGGTCGGCAAAAATAAATTTATTGATTTTGGTGTACAAAACCCTAATCCCCTTCAAAGTAGTCTCCTTGGTAATGTATACACTTCTCCCAGTGATACAGGACCCAGAAATGGTAATGGGGGGATGTGCTATCTTTAGATCCTCTTTGTTGGTAAGGAACGATTGAGGGTATAATTTATTTTCGACTCGCTTCCGAAGATAATAAAACCTTGCTTGGGAATAAATTCCTGATTTATCTTTAATATCGATGGGGTCTCTATCATTAGTGAGCAATCTTCTTAATGTTGGCTGTGTGGAAAGTGGTAGTATGTAGCCACTGGGTCCTGTATCTCTCAAAATTGCGCATTTGTTTAGGAAAAGTGGCTACATACTACCACTTTCCACACAGCCAACATTAAGAAGATTGTTCACTAATGATAGAGACCCCATCAATATTAAAGATAAATCAGGAATTTATTCCCAAGCAAGGTTTTATTATCTTCAAAAGCGAGTCAAAAATAAATTATACCCTCAATTCTCCCAGCATTCCTGCCATTGCTGGAAACACTGCTGGAACGCATCTTTTGGAATGGCCATCAGCCGGTCAGTCGGATTTTGCACGATGTCTTCTCTCGACTAAATTCAAGTTTATTTTAGCGGCATTTTCAGTTTGGGAAATAGCCAAAAGTCACACAGAGCCATATGGGGAGAGTACGAAGCGTGACGAACCACAGGAGTGTTATGTTTGGCAACGAAAGCCCGAATCAGATGCGCAAAATGGGCGGATGCGTTATCACGATGGAGCTGCCAAGTTTTGATCGACCACAGATCCGGTCATTTGCGTCGCACAGCATCGGAAAGACGATGAAGGACCTCCTGGTAGTACTCCTTTGCGATGGTTTGGCCTTGTGGTGCGTACTCATGACACACCACCCCACAAGAATCGAAAAAACTGTCAACATGACCTTTGATATTGCTGCGGACCTGCCGCACTTTTTTTGGCCTCGAGGATCATCCCCGAAAGCCTGCTGAATCTTGCGAATGGTTTACGGTTGGGTATCACCAAGGTTTTTGGCAAAATTTGATGTAATATTGCTGCTCACATTGTTTAGTCATTTACCAGTTTAGTGGAATCCGACAAGAGCGCACTACATGACCTCACTCATAGGCCGATTGCCAACGAATGACGCTTCCTGCAGGCGGGAAAAAATTCAGGGCTGTGTATGACTGTCCCCTCCACAACTCCACCGAAGGAGGCCTCTCGCACATCATTGGTTTACGCAAAAAAAAAAAGGTCCAATACTTTTTGAACAGACCTTGTATATACATATATCTTCAATAGTAACTGAATATTTTTTTATCGAGTAAATATGATATGTACCAGTAC